AGGCCCAAGCCAGGGGGGTGCAAGAATGACCCATTTCTTAAATGTTACCAGTCCCAGCGACCTTTTGGTGACATTATGGTTAAATTTCCCAATTGAAAACAAGCCAACAGACTCAAACTGGTTGTGTTTAAAAGAAAAAAAAAAGAGGAAGAGAGAGAAATTACGACAAACTTTTTTTTTTTTTAATTATTATTTATGCCTACAGCACCTGGTCTTCCTAGGTGGTCTCCCATCCAAGTACTAACCAGGCCCGTCCCTGCTTAGCTTCTGAGATCAGACATCGAGCTTTGTTTAGAGTGGCATGGCCAGAGACCATGGACTGTAGACCCACTGGGGTGTGAACCCAGGATCTTCTGTGTGTAAAGCAGACGTGCCAACTGCTACACTATAGAACCACGTCCAAGAAATTATGAAAAACTTTAAATAAAAGTTTGTCAAATTTTCTAGGATATAACTAAGGCTTTAATTAGAGAAGTAGAATATGAAATACATTAGAAAGAAACAAAAGAAGTTTGGAAACTAATGAACAAAACATTCAACTCAAGAATATATCAATGATTAGAACTGGAGATTTTAACCTACTCTATCAGAAACAGATAAACAATAAGCTGCAACAGAGAAGATTGGAAGGATATAGTTAACAGGCTAAATCTATTAAGTAGGTGGAGAAGAAATAAGAATAAAAGGAATGAAATAAGCAATGAGTCAGAGAAGAAACAAAGAGAACTCTAGCTAGAATGAAAAAGACGAAAAAAAAATTCAAGTAAGCGAAATACAGAATGAAAATCAGACACAGACACTACAGATTTAAAAATAAACAGTATTATGAATAACCATATACTAATGAATTTATAAACCTAGATGAAATAGATAAATTTCTGGGAAAATACAAACTGGAAAATTGGTCAAGAAGAAATTCAAAACTTGAAAATACTAATAAGCATTAAATTAAAATGTTAATCACTTTCCTACTCAAAAAGTCTCCACCCAGATGATTTTACAGATATGTTCTACTGACTTTAGTCAAGTTCAAGAACAGTTTCTATTCAAGGATGGTCTCTTACTACTTTATGCAAGTTTTTCATAAACAAGAAAGAGAGTGCTGAAATTATTTTTTAATAGTTTGATTAACTAGTATTCTACTTAAGATATTTGTATAGACATATATATATAAGTGAGATGGATCAATAACATTCATTTCATGCATTTTCATTATCCAGCTTTAGAATCAAGATAACTACTATTGATTAATATTGTTGTTGTACTCATAAATCTTTTTTTAATGTTCTTATTACTTCTAATTGTATATGTGTTTTTTGCATTAATCACTGTTGCAGGGGCTATATGTTATATAAAACTTACTTGACATATACATTGTTCTTCGTCTAAGTATTATTTTGACAAGTTCCAGTTAAAAGGTTTGTAAAATATCTCTCCTGAAATTTTCTCCCCTAAAAATAAACACAAATAGTCATTTTTACTATATAGTACTTGTATTTTTCAGTATTAAAAATCTACTACTAACAAATGGTGCTCGAACAACTGGATATATACGTGTTGGGGTGGGGCAGGGGGAGATTCTAGAGATTAGGAGAGAGGGATTACCAAAGGGCAGGAGGAAATGTTCCTGGGTGATGGATAAGTTCATCATCTTGATTGGGTTATATACCTATGTCAAAACTCATCAAATTGTAGACTTTAAAGACATGCAGTTTATTGTTTATCAGTTATATCTCAATTATACCTCAATAAATGTACTGCAAGAGTGGGCAAGAAAGTCTTTAAAAAATATCAAGATCACAAACCATTCAGTAAAATTGACTAATTAGATTATACCAAAATTAAGGACTTTTGTTCAATAAATAAGATTATTGATAGAGTTAATGCTGAAAGTTGAGAAGAAATATTTGCAATGTCTAAAACCAACAAGGGGGGGGAGGGGACATTTGAGATCTTTCTCTCTGGCATGTCATCAGTTTGGCTCAAAATCTTACCAAAATTCTAAAACAAACAAACAAACAAACAAACAAAACCAACAATGGACTAATATCTGAACTACATAATAAACTCCTACAAATTACTATAAAAAATATGGGAATCCCTCTGGGAAAAGTGGCAAAGGAAAACGAATGGGCAATTCATAAAAGAGAAAAAAACAAAAGTAAGAAAAAATTCAGAAGATGCTCAAACATATTAATAATTAAAGCAATACAATAAGACATTTAAAATTCATAGCAAATTTTAAAAAATGGAAACTTGAATAATGTCAAGCATTGGTGAGGAAGTTGGAATACAAAAATCCCACCACTTATGGTGTGACGTTCCAGAGAGTGTGGAGCTCAATATGCCTAAGAAATCATCACAGAACCAAAGGAGACATGTACAAAGGTATTTATTGCTATTGCAACATCTCTGTAGTAGCCGGAAGCTAGAGGCAATCATTGAAGTAATGAACAAATAAAGCACAGGGATCCACATGATAGAATACCTTGCAGCAGTTAGAAGCAAAAGATTAGAAGATCATGGGGTCAAAGAAAGTTTGTTTTGCTGTATTTTTTTAAGATGGCAGATATTATAACACATTTATATGCTAATGAGAATGATCTGGTAGAAGAAAAATTTGAGAACATAGGAGAAATGGGGATAATACAGGAGAAAGGCAAGAAAGAATGGTCTGAAGCGTAGAACTGAAGGGTGAAGAAGGGGTGAGGAATGGGAATGCAGAAATGACAATTGGCTTAAATTGCAGCAAGGACAATTCATTGTAACAAGATGGAAGTCAGGGTATATAAGTGAGGACGGAGGAAAATTAGCCAGATTGGTGGTAGAAAGAGAAGAATATTTTCTTTTGATTACTTATTTTTTCACAGTTAAATAAGAACCAAAGTCATCAGCTAAGAGTAAGAAAAGATAAAAGTGATGCTGGATAACTGCAGAGAACTTTTGTAAATAAAACCTCCTTTCCTTTATTTATTCAGTCAGGGTAGCAACCAACAGAGAGGTTCCCTTACTTGTCAGCTTTATCCAGTGTTTATATCCCTGACATTTCTCTAAAGTATTGAAGAATGGATACCAGCAAACACACCTTGGGACCTAGCTGGGGAGGGGAGGGGTAGGTTTTGTGATAGCTGGAATAAATACAGCTAGCATTCATTGAATGCTTCTTAAAGGTCCAGCCCAACACAGTAATTAAGAGCTCTACTTGCCTCTTCTCATTAAATTCAAACAACAAGCTTTATAAATAGATAGAACTGTTTTGAACAGAAACGAGGGGGCTGGGGGGTTTTCCTCCATCAGAACCAGGGCCTTGAACACTAAGTCGAGGTGGGCAACGAAAGGAAAGGCCCGTTAAAATGGTATTAGTTTAGTTACCTGATGGGAGTTTGCTTCTGAGCAGATGAAGCTCCAGTCTCAGTGTGACATAAGAAATCCTAGGAAAAACCTGAGCCTCTCCTCTGATCACCTTATCCATGGTCACCAAGTGGATGACCTTGGAGAAGTCACATTTCCAGTTCCATAAAATGTAGAGACAGATGTCACCTAGTACACATCATTTTTATGTTAAATGAAACAATCTCTAAGTTGGAGGAAACGCTTGCAAATGTAGTATATGTATGTATATGTTAATGTTTCGCTGATGTTTTTACTACTGTATTCTGATTGTTATGCAAGTGGTCAGGGCAAGGCCAATGCCCTAGGGCAAAGGGAAGCCTCCTGCAGAGAGGTGGCCCTCTAGGGTGTGTATCAATACAGAGTAAGTTTAAAGAATTTTAGCCAGCAGTCTTGGCTCGCAAGCGAGAGGAAAAATTTTTCTTCATCAAGGCTCAATTGTTCTTGACGTCTTCAGGCTAGAAACTCTGGAGAAAATAATTAGGCTCTCTGGGAGAGATCTGAAATGCCAATTGTGGGGCCTCACTGCCGCCAGTTGGGCACCAGGGGGCGCCTGGCAGATCAGTCTAGAGGCTGGTCGCGTTTTGGGCAGCCACTCGCGGTGCACCCAGCCGCCCCTGGCCAAGATGCAGGAGCTGGTGCTGGAGATGCCAGGGTTCCAGGCCATTCGTAGACTCAATCTCTAGTGCCCTCCCTACGTCTTCCTTCACCGCCCCCTCTTCTTCCTTCACAGCGTCAGCCGGGGCTTGGAAGGCGCCTGGGAAGGAGTGAGCGCCTATGGTAGGGACAGTGTGCCCATCTAGGTCCCCGCCGCCCGACGGCTCGGTCAAACTCGTGTGGAAGGAGGCAGCTGTTCTCCCAGGCGGCCGTGGGGGGCAGCAGAGGGGACTGCGACAGGTGCGGGAGCCCCTCCCGGGGTGGAAGTAGAAAGGCGGGCTTCGGGTATGTTCCCAGGCTGGAAACCACCCCCGCCCCCCAACCAAATCCCCGGGAGAGGCCGGGCCGGCGCCGGGTCTGGAGGAGGAAGCGGCCGGAGACAGTGCAATTTCACGCGGCCTTGGGGCTCAGGTTCCTCAGAAGGATAGATGAGTTATGGATTTCGAGGGGTTTCCGGGGAAACTGGGGTGACCTGAGCGTGAGGTAAAAACACCTTCCTCCTCCTCAAAAAAATAAATAAAAAAAGAAAGAAAGCGAAAGAAAGAAAGAAAAAGAAAGAAAGAAAGAAAGAAAATAAAGAAAGAAAGAAGAAAAAAAAAAGAAAAAAAACATTCACATTCAGAGAGAAAAAAAAAATCCCCCAAGTGACCCAACCGGCTAGGGGAGTTGAGTGATTTGGTTAATGGGCGAGTCCAACTTTTAGGGGGCCGGGCTTTGGCACGCTGTCCCCACCCCCATTACCTTACCTCTTTGGAGGCATTTGGGGGCGTTTGGAATCTGGACCTCACTTAGTCCAGCTCCCGAAGAAAAATTGAGACTCATTCTCGATTCGCTTGGCCCAGCTGCGGGGCACCGAGCGTGGGTTGCGCTGGCGGCGGGCGGAGGCTCCCGCAGTCCCCACTCCAGCCTCGCGCCCGCGGGGGCGCGGCTGTGACTCACCCCCTCCTCCTGCACTCTCTCAGACACACACCCCTCCCCTGCCATCCCGCCCCGGACTCTGGCTCCGGCTCCGGTTGCAGTTTGCAACCTCGTCTGCCGCGCCTACCAATTCGCCGGGGGCTCAGGTGGCTCCGCTTGGATGTCTTAGTCCAAGGTCCCCCCCGGGCCGAATACGGCTGGGCTCCGCTCACCCTCCGCTGGAGTTATGAGGGCGAACGGGGCTCTACAGGTGCTGGGCTTCCTTCTCAGCCTGGCCCGGGGCTCCGAGGTGGGCAACTCGCAGGCAGGTAAGCGGCGCGGGAGCACCAACAAGCTGGGAACGTGGGACCCCGAACCGAGTGCGCGGAGTCCTGGAGCAGCGTCAGGAGATCCGGCGGCGCGAGGCTAGGGGTGCTGACCCCGGATCTGCTGGGACCACCTGGGCGGGGACCGTCAGGCTCGGGTTTTCGGCGTGGTTCTGGCGGGGACGGGATTCCTGGACCACCCCCTCCTCCCCAGTGCGTCGCCGACCGCCTAATTTTTCTCTCTCGATAGGACTGATGCTGAAACAGTTCACTTCTTGCTGGGGGGGTCCCTGCAGGGAGGGGAGCTGGGACCGCCATTCGGTAAATGTGAGATGACGGGAGGTGGAGATCTTGGAGGAAGGGGGGTGTCTCAGTTTGCTCCCCAACCCCTTGCTCTGTCCCCCCAATCTGGGTTTCAGCAACGTCCAGTTTTGTTGTTTTGTCGACAGGGTGGAGCTATGGAAGGGTTGGAGGGGGTTGTTGTTCTCTAGTGTTGGAAAAACAAGAGCGGCACCTCCTCTTCCGTGAGTGAGCCTGCCCTGGGGAGGGCTGAGATTAACCAGAGAGCCAGGTCCAGGTGACACCAAGGTGAGGGGCCATGCAGAGTCTGACTGTCCCCTTTCCCTCAAAATTGTGAAGCTGCCTGGTCCCCAGCCTGACCAACTCTTTGTCAAGACCCAAATCAAATCGACTAAAATTTATTGAGCATCTACTATGTACAAGGCCTTGGGCCAGGAGCTGTAGCCTCAAGGACTTCTGGCCTGTGTTTCTCACTATTTGTCTTTTCTCTCCCCAACACGAGGGCTAACGGGGCCTCTCCCACCTTCCGAGCCTTCTGTCCTGGGGAGTCCTTCCCAGACTCAGCTTTTCTCCCACCCCCATTCTGTTTATTGTCTGACTCTGTCTCTAGGAGTCTGGAGGAGTCTGATTGCTCTTCTATTCCTGCTCCCACTCCCATGCCATCTGAGCCCACCCTTTCAGGGGTGTCTCTGGAACCATAGACACCTGAGGGGTGCTGGTGTTGCTGGCATTGGAGGAATCCTGTTGATCTCCCTCCCTCCCCCTAGATCTCAGCTTGGGGTTTGGCACAGCCAAGGGCCCCTTCCCCAGAGTGGGAGTGGGAGAAACACCTGTGCTTCTCCCACAGTTGCTGGGCCTAAATTTAGACCCTGGGATCTTGAGATGTGAAGCTCCCAGCTGGTGAGGGGTGGGGGTGGTGCCTGGGGACTAGAGTGGGAGGGACAGAGTAGAGTGACTCTATCACTGCCCCTTCCAGACCCCTGGAATTTTCAACCAGGAACCCAGGACTCTAAGATTCTGGCGGTCTTCCCTGAGGGAGCCAGGGGCAGGCATGATTGGGTCTCTACCCTTTATCTGGATTCTTCAGCCTCTGGGCATCCGGCCCTGTCTCAGGCCTTCTATAGCCCCTTTGTCCTGGCCGTGATGGGGGTGGGGGATATTGGAGAGGAGGCCTCTGGTTGAGGAGGGGCTGGAGATCCTTGCTCTGACATTGCCCTTCCCTATGCCCCTGGTCCTTGAGTACAGCAATGATTTTTATAATTCCCCTCCCATAGCCCTCCCCCAAGCTGCCTGGTTCCTCCTCTGAGGTGTTCATACTTTCTTCCCGCCCAGGCCCTTTGCTCCCTGTTTATGTAGTATGGACTTTACCCTCCAGGTGGTAGGGAACTGAGACCTCTAACACTGTAGCCTTCCAAACACAGACTCAAAGTCTGTACAATGGGCAGGTGGGATGGATGGGGTCACCTGAAATACTTCCTAATAAACCCAAGGATGGAACCAGTATAGATTTCTGAGCCAGCAGGGGAGCTATGGACATGTTCTTTTGTGTGTGTGTGTGTCTCACGAGTGAGTGCATGCTCACACATAACACACACACCACTTCCCTGTGCAGAAATCTTGGCTCTTCCCTTATCTGGAGAGAAGGATTGGCGCCTTTACTTGGAAGAGGGGGTGTCTTGCCAGGAAGGGGGTAGGGGTGGGGCTGTTTCAGAAATGACTAACCTTTCTAGTCTCTCTCTCTTCAGCCCAAAGACCCTGAAATTCTCAGGCTCCTCTGGGAGGTGCTGGCCTGTTTATCTCTGTTTATCCCCTTCCCTTTGTGGGGAGTGATAGGGAATGGGAGCCCTCAAAGTGGTCAGACTATGGTTGTATCTAGGAGGAGGGGTTGGGGCCTCACCAATCTCCCTCCCTCCATTCCCCACTTCTGCCTCCCATTAAGCTGCTACTGCCTCAGGGAAGGGTGGTTGGAACAGGTGGTATCTCCCCTCCACCCTCCCAACGGTCTTTTACTGTGAGCAAGAGGAAAGAGAGGGATGAGGCTTCAGGGTCAAGATTTCTCATAAATCCTATGGCCTCTGTACTTAACAGGTAAAGCAAACCCCCTAGACTGACATTCCTCCTGGATCTCAAGTCTAGGCTCTACCTAATGCCAGTGAGGATTGCCATGTTGGAAGGCTTTTTAATGAATAAAAATAAGTGGTAGGCTTAGAATGGGGGGATCTGTGGCTGTTTCTCTCCAGGCCTCTCTATATTTGCTGCTGAAAAATACTCTAGGCCCGAAAATGTGATGATGAGGGGGCTGGAGTGTGTTGGGATAGAGGAAGGGAGTGAGGAGGGAAGCCAGAGTTTAGGAAGGGGGTTGTGCAGGATAGGCAACCAGCTCCTTATCTTCCAGCTTTAAAGACAAAGCTCACATTGACCCACCACCACCACCACCACCACCACCACCAGAACTCCCCCTTCTAGTGAGGTCACTTGTCTGAGCCCAAAGCTTGAGGGTGGAGAGGGGGTGCTACTGAGGACAGGGTGTCTGGGGACAGGGTGGGGCAGCCCCCTCCTCTTAGATAGAATCGCCTCATTGTAGGCTGGACTGTGGCCCCAGGCACTGCCCCCTTCCCACCCTCAGTAAACACAATAGGGGCTGTGTGCTAGCCCCAAAGAGATATTTATTCCTGGACCTAGAGAGAGGCGGGGTGAGGGGGAGAGGAGGAAGTGCCCCGGGTGGAGGGGAAGAGGAGGGGAACCAAGTTGTATCTTTTTCTAACTTCTTTCTAGGGAGGGGTAAAAGCCCTACCTCCTCCTTGATTAGTCCCCAAGTATCTGAAAGAGGCACAAAGGAGGTCCTGGTGGAAAAAGAAAACCTTTTCACCTTCCTATTCAGGGGGATGGTGAGGGGATCCTGAGAAAAGAAAGTTCAGGCTCTCAGGCCACCGTAGGCCTTCGTGTCTGTCTCTAGGGGTGAGGGCTGGAGGCAGCTGCCTTCTGATCCTGTTGAATGTCATTGGAAAAGGGCAACTAAGGGGGTGGTCTTGGGGGACGGGGCTGAAAACTTGTGTCCAGCCCTCTGCCTCTCTTACCTCCATTTTGAACAGTATGTCCTGGGACTCTGAATGGGCTGAGTGTGACTGGCGATGCCGAGAACCAATACCAGACACTGTACAAGCTCTACGAGAGGTGTGAGGTGGTGATGGGGAACCTCGAGATTGTGCTCACAGGACACAATGCTGACCTCTCTTTCCTGCAGGTTAGAGTGCCCAACCTCCTTTCTCAACCTGTTCTTCCTTATCCTCCCCATAGGCGCCTCCTTGCCTTTCTCAGGGCTTTCCTAAGGCTCGATAGTCCCCAAGATCCAAACTTATGTGTTTATGGAGACAGTGACTGGAATCTGGGGCCCGTGGTCTTGTTGCTGTAACCAGGGATACACAGGGGCTGGCCATGAGAAGAGGACAGAGGCAAGGTGGTGTTCTGCACCAGGGACTAATGTAGAGAGACACATGAGGAGTGAGAGGCACCTGGGGAAATGGGTAAGGGACTAGACAAGGTCCTTCTTAGTATGAGGAGCTCTGAAATAGAAACGGTAGGAGACTAGAATTCCTCCATCATTTCTGCTGTGTTTACTTGCAGACGGGACACAGTAGTGTGACACCAGCTTTCGCTCCTCCAAAATAGGAATTAGAATTAGAGAAGTTAGGGATTCCTTTATGCCTTAGGGAGCGAGAGGAGATTTCGACTTTCTTGCCCTGTAGTCTCTCTCACTAACACCAACTGCTTCATTACAGTGGATCCGAGAAGTGACCGGCTATGTCCTTGTGGCCATGAATGAGTTCTCTGTACTGCCTCTGCCCAACCTCCGAGTGGTACGGGGGACCCAGGTCTACGATGGGAAGTTTGCCATCTTTGTCATGTTGAACTATAACACCAACTCCAGCCATGCTCTCCGCCAGCTCCGCTTTACACAACTCACTGGTCAGTTCCTGATGACACCTTTGGTCTTGCTCCTCAGCAAGGAGGCAATCGCCTCCTTGAGGATGACCTGAGACTGCTCACTTTTAAGTGCCCCTTTCAGAGTGCCCACCACTTTGACCACAGTGATCTAAAGATCCACTAGTTAAACAATAGAAGGCCCCAGTAGGTAGCTGATGCCCTCTGCCCCAGGGGGAGAGGAGGGTCCGTATGTCCTGGTGGGGCTGGAGTTGGAGCTGGATCTGTTACCCATTTCTCTAAGCATGATGTACCTTGATGTGCCTCTTTCCCCAAGAATGAGAATTCTACCTCCTCCTCCCTCAATTTCTCACAAGCTGGAGGAATACAGGGGTTAAATATCACCTGGCCACCTTCTACTGCTCCTTGTCCTAGTCATTTGGATAACAGGGCGCGGTTAGGGGGATGTTGAGTCAGGAATCTTCTCCTTTCCCTTCCCCTCCCCCACTTGCTAAACCGGATCTGGACAGGTGTCTGAAGAGGCTGGGGTTTCTTTTGGCCTGGCTCCTCCTCTTATCTCACAAGGCAAGCCTTCTCTGCAGTTTGGATTTAATTGGACATATCCATCTGTCCCATTTCCCCTGTTCCCAAGTCTCAAGGGGCCTTTTGACTCATGGGGAGGTTAGGGGAAAGGAGGCCTACTGTAGCCCTTAACCCTGTCTCTTATCTTCCCCTCCTCAGAGATTCTGTCCGGGGGTGTTTATATTGAGAAGAATGATAAACTTTGTCACATGGACACAATTGACTGGAGGGACATCGTGAGGGACCGAGATGCCGCGATAGTGGTGAAGGACAATGGCAGGAACTGTGAGTGATCATGATCAAGACTACTCCCCTGCTACCACCAAACCAGAGTGACTCCTTTCCCATCATCATGTATCCCTAATCTGAACCCACCTCTCCACTGAATAAGTACCTCAGGCCCTAGACCCAAGGAGCCTGCCAGGAAGGAGCAGGTCAGTACCCTAGAATCCAAACCGCAGAAACAGTATGTCAAGAAAAGGGGCCAAAGACTGTATTGAGTGGAGAAGCCAGATATTTGGACTTCACCTCCACTTCTCTTTCCTCAACAACTTCCCTTCTCCTTGGAACCTACCTACCCCTAACTGCAATCTGCTGCTGCCTGTCTGCTCACACACACATAATCCTACAGGGTTCAGCTTGCCAAGGAGGAACCAAGTTCCTGGGTTGGGTCTGGGGCTGAGCTTGGCATTTGCCCAGACCCTCCCCTTTAGCTGCCCTGTGGGTGGTGTGGAGGCGTGGTTCTACCCCTTGTTGATAGGCTCACTTGTTCCCAGCCCTGCTTTGAGAGGGCAAGGAGGGGCACTGCCCTGACTCTTTGCTTCCTGGGACTTGGGTGCCTCTGTGCTGATATCATTCCCTGTTGATTCAAGCAAGCTTTTCTTAGCCCTGATATTCTCTTGTGTTGCTTTTCTTCTCAACCAGGTCCCCTCTGTCATGAGGTCTGCAAGGGGCGATGCTGGGGTCCTGGGCCAGAAGACTGCCAGACATGTGGGTTTACTTGCCTCTAAAAACTTCAAACTCGTACACATTCATATCCCTGCCTATCCCATCCTGTGTCACCACTGGGGGGTAGGGATGAGCCTGACAGGCAAGAGGGTATGCAGTGACCTCAGTATGCAGAGTTCTAAGAACCCTGACAGCTATACTTTCTCTTCTTCCATAGTGACCAAGACCATCTGTGCTCCTCAGTGTAATGGTCATTGCTTTGGGCCCAACCCCAACCAGTGCTGCCATGATGAGTGTGCAGGGGGCTGCTCAGGCCCTCAGGACACAGACTGCTTTGTATGTACTGTTAGCACCATTTACCTGGGTTCTGAAATGGGGATGTGGGCTTCATGGAGGAAATAGGGGTACATACATAACATGAGTTTTATGAGTCTCCTATGTTTCTAGGCCTGCCGACTCTTCAATGACAGTGGAGCCTGTGTACGCCAGTGTCCACAGCCTCTTGTCTACAACAAGCTAACTTTCCAGCTGGAACCCAATCCTCATACCAAGTATCAGTATGGAGGAGTTTGTGTAGCAAGCTGTCCCCGTAAGTGTTTACCCTCAGTGGTTCAGAAAAACAAGAAAGGAAGAAACAATGATAGCAGAACTAGGATTTTAGACAAAATTTTAAGAGGCAGAAGAGATTAAGTTGGGTGGTAAGTAGAGGAAGTAGAGGGCAAATGGTTGATCATCAACCACCCCCAGCGAGTGACCCCTATGTCCTATCCCCCCATATACTTCTCTATGACTTCCAGCAATTGCTTGTAGTTCTACTTCTTGGAACAACAAAGAGCAAAGGGGCTTCCTAATCCATAGGATGGCACTTAAGGAACCTCGGGTGATGTATTGGAACCTCAGTGCAGAGCAGGAGGGAGCAAAGCTCAGTTGGTAGTTGGCAGTGTTCCTCTCTCATCTCTAAAGGTGCCTTCCTCTTTCCTAGATAACTTTGTGGTGGATCAAACGTCTTGTGTCAGGGCCTGTCCTCCTGACAAGATGGAAGTAGATAAAAATGGGCTCAAGATATGTGAACCTTGTGGGGGGCTGTGCCCCAAAGGTAAGAAGGAGATGGTAAGGAGTTGGCGAAGAGACAGCCTTTCTCCTGAGACTACTCAGTCCCCTTCCAATCTGCAATGAGCTTCTTTTTTGTTTGTAGCCTGTGAAGGGACGGGCTCTGGGAGCCGCTTTCAGACTGTGGACTCTAGCAACATTGATGGATTTGTGAACTGCACCAAGATTCTGGGCAACCTGGACTTTCTCATCACTGGCCTCAATGGGTTAGAGATTCTGCTTTCCTTCCCTGATCCCCCACCCCATCCATCCCCTCACAATTCATTGGCTCAACCCTTCTTAAATGAAGCTGATTAGGAATCTAAATCATAAAATCTTAGAGGCCCCGAAGGACCTGACAGTGCTTAACTCAACCTCCCACTCAGAGACATCTCCAAGTAATCTGATACCATCTAGCTGAATGGCAAAGGACAGGGACATTGTGTCTTCCTTTAAGTTTTCTAAAAGTTCTTCCTTAAATTTAGATAAAAATCTGCCAGTTATTTCTAATTCTGTTCCTTAGAACAGAGCCACAAAGAGCAAAGGGTCTTTCTAATCCATAGGCTAGTGCTTAAAGTGTGTGTGTAATATAAGGGCCACCTGTTTTTTTCTCTTTGACAGAATTTTAGCTCTTTGCTAAAGTTGCAAAAATGACATAAAGATTTCCCATACACTCTTTACGCAGATCCCCCAAATGTTAACATTATTCCACATGCTTTATTTTTTTTCTCTATACACATACTATACGAACTCTTGTTTTTCTGAACCACTGAGGGTAAACTTCTAGAAATGGTACCCCCTACTCCTTTTATATTTCAATATGCATTTCTTTAAAGCAAGAACATTTTCTTACATAACCATAGTATAATTGTTTGAATCAGGAAATTAGCATTGACACATAATGTTATCTAATCTACAGACCTTATTTAGATTTCACTAATAGTCTTATTAATGTCCCGGATCACACATTATATTCAATTGTTACATCTCTTCAGGCTCCTTTAATATGTAACAGTTCATGGCGTTAACATTATTGATGAGTACAGGTCAGAAAAGTGGTAGAATGTTCCTCAATTTGGGTACACATGATGTTTCCTCATACTTAGATTCAAGTTATGCATTTTTGATAGGAATACTACAGATGTATTCTCAGTGCATCATATCAAGAAGTCATACGATGTTGATTTCTTGTGTTACTGGTCACGATGTCTCTGGTCACTTGGTTAAGGTGGTATCTGCCAGGTTTTTCTATTGTAAAGTTAACTCTTCCCTTATGGTATTAATTAACAAGTATCTCGTTGGAAAATTTTGCCTGAATTACTTTATAATGAGAGTTGCCAAGTGATGATTTTCTAATTCCATTATTCTGCATTCATTTGTTGGCATTCTTGTTTTAGTAAGAGTCTTCTCTTTCTATCCATCCATTTGTTTATTTAATCCGTCTGGATACCTGTTTTATTCAATGGTTTATAATCTTTTACAATGATTTTGGTGTTCAGTTGTCCCTGATCTGGCTACTGGGGGCCCCTTCAAGCTGGCACCTGTTTTCTTTGGACTCGTACCCTTCATTCTTTGAACCCTTCCTTCCTTTTTTTGCATAAGATGCTGTAGGCTCATGTTATATTTTTTCTGCCCCAGCTATTTCTCCAAGAAACTCTGTTTCCTTTTAATAGAGAATGGTATTTAAAAACTAAGTTCTGAGGTTAGGCATGCCCGTTGCTACTGGGTTATACCTTTTCCTTGTTGACTGGTTTTACTGTTCTCTCCAGAGACCCCTGGCACAAGATCCCTGCCCTGGACCCTGAGAAGCTCAATGTCTTCCGGACAGTACGGGAGATTACAGGTGAGTGGAAGGAGGCGCTTCTCTTTCTGAGAATAGCTCAACTATTGGCACAAATTGCAGTACAACCACCTGAGAAAATCAGGTCTCAAGCAACAGGGGAAGGACTAGGAGAACCTAAGAAAGAGGAAGGGGAGTAGCCTCCCTGTTTATATACTTCTTTTTAACCCCTCAGGTTACCTGAACATCCAGTCCTGGCCTCCCCACATGCATAACTTCAGTGTCTTTTCCAACCTGACAACCATCGGGGGCAGAAGCCTCTACAAGTGAGTAAGGGGTTTAGAGGTGTTAGGATTTCCAGGTAAGGCATTCTTGAGTGAAATATAAGGCATTATCTCATACAGTAAACCCAAAGAATCTGAGAGTTTGATGGGGAAAAGGCAAAAGGAGGGGGAGTCCCTTTCGGTGGGTCCGACTAGCCCAGAGCAAACTGTTAAATGAAAATGAATCCACTGCATGGTCAATTTTCCCTTGGTAGTCTCCTCTCTCATCCTGTGTCTTTGTTCTCAGCCGGGGATTCTCATTGTTGATTATGAAGAACTTAAATATAACATCTCTGGGCCTCCGATCCTTAAAAGAAATTAGTGCTGGGCGTATCTACATAAGTGCCAATCGGCAGCTCTGCTACCACCATTCTCTGAACTGGACCAGGCTGCTTCGAGGGCCTTCAGAAGAGAGACTAGACATCAAGCATAATCGACCCCGCAGAGACTGCGGTGAGGGAAAGGGCCCACTGGGAGGAAATGAATATAAGGACTGTTCTGCTCTGGAATTGGGAGTAGGGATGGGGGATGGAGCCAAGGAGAGGGGGAAGTTAGGCTGGAAGCAGTAATGAGGAAGTGTTCAGGAGAGGGCTTGCTGGGAGACCTCAGACTCCTCCTGACCCTCCACTTCTTTTCCAGTGGCAGAGGGCAAAGTGTGTGACCCACTGTGCTCCTCCGGGGGATGCTGGGGCCCAGGCCCTGCTCAGTGCCTATCCTGTCGAAACTACAGCCGAGGAGGTGTCTGCGTGACCCACTGCAACTTTCTGAATGGGTACAGTGAGGGGAGACAGAGTCAAGAAGGGGTGGAGGGGTGGGGCCCTGGGATGGAGCTGTTCAGGTGGCACCTGAAAGCCTTTAGACAACTTTCTGCATATGCCTTGGTGGAAATGAGGGAGGAGACCCTGTGGTTTGGGCATAAAGGTCAGGACTTGAAAGTGACCCCTCTCCCCTTTGCCCTCCACTGCAGGGAGCCTCGCGAGTTTGCCCATAATGATGAATGCTTCTCCTGCCACCCGGAATGCCAACCCATGGAGGGCACTGCCACATGCAATGGCTCGGTACAGTAGCAGCACCAGGCTCTCTAAGGGATAGATGATGGGGCAACACTGGAGAATCTGGGGAATAATAGGGAATGATATGGCCAAATCTCAAGGCCAGCACAGGGAGGCCAGATAATGCTAGGGTTTGTGGGTGGAGGATCCTGCATGGCTGGGTTGGTCTTTGCTCAGAGATATGGAATTGACCTTACAATCCCATTCTTCCTGACCCTTTTTTCTCTGCCATCTAGGGCTCTGATGCTTGTGCCCAGTGTGCCCATTTTCGAGATGGGCCCCACTGTGTGAGCAGCTGCCCCTATGGAGTTTTGGGTGCCAAGGGCCCCATCTACAAGTTTCCAGATGCTCAGAATGAATGTCGGCCCTGTCATGAGAACTGTACCCAGGGGTCAGTGATGGGATATTAAGAAGAAGGGACGGGGGTCAGGGGGAAAGAAGTGGATGAGGGGAGCAGAAAGAAGAAAGGAACTGTGATTTAAGAATCATTCCCAGCTGTGTAGTGATGGATTGGAGAAAGGGATACTCAATAACAAGAAAATTATGCCACGGTTTTGGGAACCTGGAATAACCTCAATTTAGGAAACTTTTATTCAAGAGAGGGACTCAGGGAGAGTTGATGAGCCAGAGATGGAGGCCATATCTTGGGATATGCTTGGGCTCCAGGATGGGATGTCATGGTAGAGTCTGAAACTATGTTGTAGCTGTTGGAACTGAGTCTCCCATGAGAGCTTCCCAATCTCCCATTTAAAGAGGTGACTTTCTTCTCTAGGTGTAAAGGACCAGACCTGCAAGACTGTTTAGGCCAGACACGGGCATTGATCAGGTATGTGGGCTTGGAGACTTAGGAAGTGAGGGTATTTGAGACAGAGACTAAGGAGAGGGCAGGTATCTGCTGAGAAGAGTTGAGTCTACTCACTCTGGTCTTCTATGTACAGTTCACTTATCACTGGACTTGGGGAGTACAAGAATCCAGACTTCTGGTCTTCCTAAAATTAACTTGCAGTAGCCTCAGGAGGTCCAGATTTAGATTAACTCCTTCAGTGCTCAAGGATATATGTAGATGTGAATGTTGACTTTTTGCACCCAGATCTGCACCATACCTCTAGTACAGGAATAGATGACATTTGTAAGGGTGTTGTGGACCCAAGGTAATGCCGGGCTTCTCTATCCCTCAGCAAAACCCATCTGGCAATGGCTTTAGCAGTGGTAGTAGGATTGGTAGTGATTTTCGTGATCCTGGGCAGCAGTATTCTTTATTGGCGTGGGCGCCGGATTCAGAATAAGAGGGCTATGAGGCGCTACTTGGAACGGGGTGAGGTGAGTGTCTAGCTTACTCTTGAAAGGTACCCTATACTTCTTAAGAACCTTCTCCTTAGAGATTTGATCCCTTTCTTCCAGGAGAGGTAGTATGGTCTACTAGAAAGGACTCTGGCTAGAGAAATGGAAAACATGCATTCTCATCCTGATTTTGCCATTAATTTGCCACATGACTTTGAAGAAGTTAATATCCTTCTCTGTGCCTCTGTTATGCATGTATACAGAGAAAATAATCACACTCATCCTTACCAGGATGGCTGTAAGGGTGAAAGGGGTTAATGTATGTGAAAGTGCTTTGAAAAGCATAGAGAATTGTATAAAAGTACTCAAGGCGATAGTATTACCAACTTTCCATCCTTTCCCCTACCAGAGGGAAAACCAAATCCTCCTGATTTTTGATCTCATGAGCACAAACAACTTCTTCAGTCGTTAGGGTCTGTTATTCTGCAATATGCCTATATATTTTATAAGACTAAAGACTATTCCTCTTTCTGCTTCTCTCCCTCTGGGCTCTGCTGCTCTTGGCATCCACTTATGGTAAGGGGGTTGGAGTGAGACATGGGAATGGGCTTTCCTGAGAACCTCCTTCCCATCTGCTCCTCAGAGCATAGAGCCTCTGGATCCCAGTGAGAAGGCTAACAAAGTCTTGGCCAGAATCTTCAAGGAGACAGAGCTGAGGAAGCTTAAAGTGCTTGGTGCAGGCGTCTTTGGAACTGTGCACAAAGTGAGTGGCCCACGAGAAGTCTGGGGAGGCAAAGAAAGGATCTAGGCCAGAGGGGAGAAAGATTTAGGTAAAGGATTAGCCTGGGGAGAATGATCTTAGGCTGACTCCTGCTTAAAACTTCCCAGGGAGTGTGGATTCCTGAGGGTGAATCAATAAAGATTCCCGTCTGCATTAAAGTCATTGAGGACAAGAGTGGACGGCAAAGTTTTCAAGCTGTGACGGATGTAAGTGAAGGAAGGGTATTCCGTATGCCACTAGAGAGAGGTCAGTGGTACATACGATTATGCAGAAGCATGGTCCTGTGTTAGCAGGTACTATGTTAGTCATACTTATGTACTTGAATGTTGGGGGAGCCCTGGTCTGGGTGTATGCGAACCTCTTTGTTCCTTGGATAACCCCTCTTGTGTCTCTTAGCATATGCTGGCCATTGGCAGCCTAGACCATGCCCACATTGTACGGCTGCTAGGACTGTGCCCAGGGTCATCTCTGCAGCTCGTCACTCAATACTTGCCTCTGGGTTCCTTGCTGGATCATGTGAGACAACACCGGGGGGCACTGGGGCCACAGTTGCTGCTGAATTGGGGAGTACAAATTGCCAAGGTGAGAGGAGCCTGGAGTTCTATGATGGAATTGCCTGGCAGGGTACCGGCAGGGAGGGGACAGGGAGGTTGAAGTGTTCTGAATGGTGCCCTTAGGGTTTTGGGTGGTTCTGGATCTCAGGGACAGATTCCCCCAAACTTGAGAATACTTTCTTCCGATATAGGGTATGTACTACCTTGAGGAGCATGGTATGGTGCATAGGAACCTAGCTGCCCGAAATGTGCTACTTAAGTCACCCAGTCAGGTTCAGGTGGCAGATTTTGGGGTGGCTGACCTGCTGCCCCCTGATGATAAACAGCTACTACACAGTGAGGCCAAGGTAAGGTGACACAAAAGGTTGATAAGGAGGTGGAGGTGGGGGTGGAGCGAAGCATGGGGATAAAGGAACAGTCAGTGGTTTCTTTCAGAGGCAAGCAGACGCAGCATGGTAAGTTCAAGGAGAGGAACCTGGAGATGCCAGAAATATAAGTTCAGAAAGCAATAAAGAAAAGAATGCAGAGAACTTGGGGCTTTAGAAATGCTAAGAAAATTTGTGAAAATAACTGGTGACACCTTTGTCTTTGAATCCTCCAGACTCCAATTAAGTGGATGGCCCTCGAGAGTATCCACTTTGGGAAATACACACACCAGAGTGACGTCTGGAGCTATGGTCAGTCCATCTGAATGCCCTCTATACTATTACTGGCCCAGTTGCCTTTTGAGACTCCATTTTAGAATCTCCAAGCTCTTCAGATAGTTGTGTCAGATCAGGTTCTGCCATCCCTTCATCTTCATGCCCATTTCTGTTATTTTGCCATCAACTAGTCATGTATTCCTGTACCAGGTGTGACTGTCTGGGAGCTGATGACCTTTGGGGCAGAGCCCTATGCAGGGCTGCGATTGGCTGAAGTACCAGATCTGCTAGAGAAGGGGGAGCGGTTGGCACAGCCCCAGATCTGTACCATTGATGTCTACATGGTCATGGTCAAGTGTGAGTTACCTGCTGATGCCAGCTATTTTCTGCCTTCCCTACTTCACTCCCCTCTTATGACTCTACTTCCTACATCTTACCCCCAGGTTGGATGATTGACGAGAACATTCGCCCGACCTTTAAAGAACTAGCCAATGAGTTTACCAGGATGGCCCGAGACCCACCACGGTATCTAGTCATAAAGGTGAGTAGGGTCTAGGAAGTGTCGAGATTTAGAGCAAAGGGGACTTGGCTGGAACCAGGATCTACCTTAACAGTCATCTACCCCTATAGAGAGAGAGTGGGCCTGGAATTCCCCCTGGGGCAGAGCCCCCTGCTCTGACAAACAAGGAACTGGAGGAAGTAGAGCTAGAGCCTGAACTAGACCTGGACCTGGACTTGGAGGCAGAGGAGGACAACTTGGTGACAACACTAGGCTCTGCCCTCAGTCTGCCACTTGGAACACTTAATCGGCCACGTGGGGTAAGGCACTTTCCAATTACTCGAGACTTTCTGCATCTTGAATGCTCTGCACACTAGCGCCCTCATGAACCCTACAGATACCCCGATTAACTACTCAGAGGCCCCCATAAGATTTTTCCCTTTGTCTAAATCTTTTTTCATTTTAGAGCCAGAGCTTTTTAAGTCCATCATCTGGATATATGCCTATGAACCAGAATAATCTTGGGGAGGCTTGCCAGGTAAGGTCTGTCTCTTTTAAGGGGCTGCTGAGAGGCAGAGTGGCAGAATGTTTTAGGATCAGTAAGGCTAGTAATGTGGGACATTTTAGAAGCCTTGGAAGTTTAATCAGTGTCCTACAAAATAGAAGGCGTTGAACAACCTAGTCTTTCGCCATCCCTGTCTAAAACTCCGTGTATTATTTTTCTTCCTTAGGAGTCTGCAGTTTGCGGAGGCAGTGAACTATGCCCCCGTCCAGCCTCTCTGCACCCATTGCCACGGGGACGCCTGGTATCAGAGTCATCGGAGGGCCATGTGACAGGCTCTGAGGCTGAGCTCCAGGAAAAAGTGTCACTGTGTAGAAGCCGGAGCCGGAGCCCACGGCCACGTGGAGACAGTGCCTACCATTCACAGCGCCACAGCTTGCTTACTCCTGTCACTCCAGTCTCCTCACCAGGGTTAGAGGAAGAGGATGTTAATGGTTATGTCATGCCAGATGCACATCTCAAAGGTGCCTGACCCCTCACTCCTCACTGCCTGACTCCCCCTGCTGCCTGACTCCCCCCACTCTCCACTGCCTGTTACTGTTTTCCACATAGCTAGCCTCTCTTCTCAATCCCCAGGTACTCCCTCCTCCCGGGAAGGCACTCTTTCTTCTGTGGGTCTCAATTCTGTCCTGGGTACCGAAGAAGACGACGAAGATGAGGAGTATGAATACATGAACCGGAGGAGAAGGCACACTCCACCTCGTCCCCCTAGACCCGGTTCCCTCGAGGAGCTGGGTTATGAGTACATGGATGTGGGATCAGACCTCAGTGCTTCCCTGGGCAGCACACAGAGTTGCCCACTCCACCCTGTGCCCATCATGCCCACTGCTGGCACAACTCCAGACGAGGACTATGAATATATGAATAAGCGACGTGGTGGTGGAGGTCCTGGGGGAGATTATGCAGCCATGGGGGCCTGCCCAGCAGCTGAGCAAGGGTATGAAGAAATGAGAGCTTTCCAAGGGCCTGGACACCATGCCCCCCATGTCCATTATGCCCGCCTCAAAACTCTACGTAGTTTAGAAGCCACTGACTCTGCCTTTGATAACCCCGATTACTGGCACAGCAGGCTTTTCCCCAAGGCTAATGCCCAGAGAACATAACCCCTGCTCCTTGAGGTACTCAGGGAGTGGTTGATGGCAGCTAGTGCCTCTAGAGGGTACCTCTCTTCTCCCTAGTCCCTCTCTCTCAAAGGTCTCAGCCCCATTTTCCGCTTAGTTCTAGACAATTCCATTCAACCTTTGGAGGCTTTTAAACACTCTAACACAAAATTCTTGTGGTATATAGCCAGCAGTGCACTTTCTTCTCTTTCCCAATCCCTGGAAAGTAGAAGGTTTTCCCTATTTTGTGTGCTCTCTCAATCCCATTCCTCTGCTTTCTCAGGGGAATTCCCTGGAGATATGAAGGATTACTCCTTTATCATATCCCTTTCTCTCAGACTCTAACTTGTTGAGATTAGGCTTTAAAGTGTGCCTTTGTTTCCTATTAGACTCCTAAGGAAAAGAAAAGGGGCAAAACCTGGCAGGGGAAAGTAAAATTTTGGCTTATGACTCTTAATCCCCTGGAAAGAATGGGAAGCTTAAAATCTTGTGAAGAGGTTAGGAGTAGATGTTAATGATTACTATTAATTGAGCAATTTACTTTGTGCCAGGCATCCTGCTAAACCTTACCAACATCATCTCACTAATCCTTATACCAATTCTGTGAGCGAGGTATTAATCCATTTTACAAAGAAACTGAGCCTTAAAGACATTAAGTACATTAAGTGGCAAGTCCAGGATTCAAAATCTTCCAATACATGTGCTCTTACTGTAAGGTTATCAGGGAAAACTGATACGTCAGAGCCCTTGTTAAGGGGCATTGGTCTTGTTTTTGCACTGAATCAAGTCTAACCCCAACGACCACAGCCTCCTACACCCAGACTTCTCATCTCAGGAAGTGGAGGGGAGGGGTGGTCAGAAGGAAAAATAACCCAACATCTTTGTGTAAACCATAATCTACATGTGTTGTAAATGATCTCTACTTCTTTCCCAAAGGACAGTTTTACGAGGGTCTCAAGAGCCACTTTTAGGAGCTGTTCTCATCTAGTAATGAGAAGCTTCCAGCTGAGATAGAAAGAGGGACCCATCTTCAGACCTCTGTCCCATTGGGGTATCTTTTCTATCACTGAAGTTTTTTGTTTTGTTTTTATACGTGACTGAATAAAAATGCCAAAGTTTTTCAGCTTTTTGTCTGTCAAATGAAAACCTTAAGTGTGTGAGATAGACCGCCCCTTTTCTGTGCTATTCAGCAGAGGATAGTCACTTTTCCTCTCTCCTACTTTGTCTTTGAACAGTCCTACTCTGTCCCATACAGCTTTCTCAAGCCCTACTTTGTATTCCCTAAGAGATTCATAGCGCAGTCCCTTTCATTAGTTCTCTACAAGGCGACCAACAAAGTTTGGGGAAGTTAGAAAAAGACCTATAGATGTGCTCCCTCAAGAGGTGGAATACTGAAACTCCCATGTGTTTGAGAACTCATTCTCTTTAAAAACGTCTCCGTGAACACTTGGCTTAGGTGCTATCAAAGCCTGTTGGAACAGTAGTGCCATCTTCAGTGGGAGGCCGGCCTCTAGGTTGGGAGGCTGTAAAATAAATGCATAATCCCTTAAGAGTTTGCCGGCCCAGTTAGTCCCTGCTCCTTAGTCTTCCACACCCGTTCTGCCCCTCCCGGTTCTCCCAGCATCGGAGGACGATTGGACCGGCTGAGCCGGTCCCGCCAGCCGCTCCAGGGATCCGGGGAAGGGCGCACCCAGCCTCCCCGCCTTTAATGTAGTCACCCCCCTCCCCTCCCCGCCAATCGCCTCGGATCCACCCTTCCCCGACGCCTCCAAATCCAGTTCCCTGGCCGTAGCTCCGCCCCCTTCCATTAAAGGTTCCAGCTCAAGGCTCTGGTGGGTACGGTTTTTCCTGTAGAGACCACGCTTCTTAAGCTCTCTCCAACGGCTCCGCCTTCCCGCCGGAGCCTGACCCTTCCCAGCGTGCCCGGCGATTCCAGCGTGCGAGTCTCTCGGAGGGCAAGGCCCCCGGGCCTGGCTTAGGGGCGCGAAAGGCAGGCTGGGAGTTGCAGTTCACGAGTCCATGAGAGCGGCTGGAGGTCGACAGAGGAGAGGACTCAGTGTCCCAGCGTGCCCTGCGCCTCAGCCCGCGCGCTCGCAGCTTCTCGCTCTCGACCGCCCGCTCGCTCTCTTGCTTGCTCGCGCTTTTGCTCGCGCTCTCCTCGCAGATCGAAGGGGCTCTGGCCACAACCTGTGACTGGGAAGGGAGACAGAGGCGGCGGCTCAGGGGAACGGGGCTGCAGTAGTGGTGGTGGCGGGAAGATGTCGGGCGAGGACGAGCAGCAGGAGCAAACTATCGCCGAGGACCTGGTCGTGACCAAGTATAAGATGGGGGGCGACATCGCCAACCGTGAGTGCGGCCTCAGCAGTCCGAGGTTCTAGGCTGAGAGGGAGAGGCAAGCGGGATGGTACTGGGCTGGCCCTGGAGGGGCTGGAGCGGTGGGTCATGCGGAATGAGCTACTGAGGGCCCCGCGCTGGTCCTCTGCTGTGTGGCGTGGTGGGAAGAGTCCGTGTCGCTCCTGGGACCTGAGCGTCCAGGCCTGGGTTGGAGTCTGGAGGTGCGGGCCGGCGACGGGGAAGAGCTCAGAGCAGAATCCCTGGCCGGCGCTAACCCTAGGCGGTTGGTAAGGAGGCAAGGCGCATCTCCTGCGGGTTTTCGCCTCCTTTAATTCTGGCAGCGGCGAGGCCAGCTTGAAAAGGAAGCACCCAGATGTTTGCGACGGAAGCGCCCCTCTATTTTGTTGAGGCTACCCTGGAGTCAGGAGCCGAGCCGGCACGTGTTACTGGGTCCCTGTGCGGATCGTCAGCTGCCTTCCTCTGCTACGATCCCTGACACCAGCTTTCCTACCACGTGCTTTGCTGAAGTCTTTCGTTCTTCAACTCTTTCTCTGGTGGGGGCTCCCTTCTACTGTTGGTCAGCTCAGTGACCGTTGACGGGCACCCCTGGAGCTCCTCACACCCTCTTGGAGATATATCCATGTTTTCGTGAAGTTCTTCATTACTACCTTCAATCTGTGCAGATAGCCTTAGTTTTCAGATTTGATCTCAGCAGTTTGACAACTCTAGGAGTGTTTTTGAGGTCCTCACCCCAACTAGGCAAACTTGTGAATAGTACTGGAACGGGCGTGGGGATTGATGTTAGGATCTCAGAAGTCATCCTTATTAGGACCGCCCTGACTTTCTCAGCAGCTGCCTGCTACTCTAGGCAGATGTCTCACTTTCAGTACTCTTCTATTTCTAATTCAAAACCCAGTCAGGAGGACAGAAAGTGCTTGTGTTTGGGCTTTAAATGGCTTTGACCGGTAGAGAGGTATTTAGGATGTCTCTGGTCCTATGGCTGAAAACCTGAGTTTCAGGCTTCCCAAGAGTCACTAAAACTTAGATCACAGAAATCAAATCTGAAGTTCAGGATGGGCCATGGAGATGCTTTATAACATAATGGACATTTAGTTAGTGCCTCCAGTTTTGGTATATTTTTATATTTGATATTAGTGGTTTGAATCAAATTTTTTTTTCCTCTTGCAATTTCTAATTTCTGAGGTACTTGTGATTACAGATACCACCTTGAAACTCTTTTGGGTCACGTAACTCTTTGTTATCTGCTAAAAGCTATAAACCATGAGCCTGCTGGAGCCCAGGGACCTTAGATTAAGTCTCTTTGGCTTCTACAATTGTGAAGAAGTAAGTCTACGTAAATTGAATTAGTAACAGCTAATTGGAGTGTCTGAGAAGGGAGAAGGTAGCATTTCATCACTCATCAACTTCGAGTCAGCAATTCTGTGTCTACCTTCCTGTTGTCCCCGACGCCTATAACTATCTTTTAGTCTGCGTGTATGTGGAATACCTTGGTGAGGACCCTCTTAAAGTTCATAATTCTATCCTGTCATACCACAGGTGTCAGTTTTGGGAAGTCTCCCTTGTCTGGGGAGACAGATTGTGTATACCCAGTTGTAACATTGTATAAGGAAGGAAGAGAGTGTTGACTTCTTTAAAAAAGAAAGGCAGAAATTTAGAGATTATAGGTAGGTACATTCTAAGAGGCAAATCTTGTTCCTTTTAGCATTAAGGCAGTGGCACTAGGGAATATTAGAAACCCTGGGTACAGCTTCTAGGAATTGCTTGGATTGTAACTTAGACATCACATACAGGATTAACGGTGAGATTCCATCCCCAGGGGTACTTCGGTCTTTGGTGGAAGCATCCTGCTCGGGTGTGTCAGTACTGAGCCTCTGTGAGAAAGGTGATGCCATGATTATGGAAGAGACGGGGAAAATTTTCAAGAAAGAAAAAGAAATGAAGAAAGGTAAAAAATCAATTCCACACTAATTTCCCAGGATTGGCCCTTATTCAGTCCTGTTTGTCATAATGATGCAACCCTCACCCTACCTCTGGTTGAGATATTTGGAAATTTGTAATGACAAGTTGGTTACAAGTAGTTTCCTACTCAGTCCAAACTGACTGAACTGAGGCAAGACCCTGAAGAAAATGGATCCATTTTTCTGAGGGGCAACAGGGCTCCAAGAGAGAGAGCAAGGCAGTAAGGCCGATGATTCTCTTTACAGGTATTGCCTTTCCCACCAGCATTTCAGTAAATAACTGTGTATGTCACTTCTCCCCTTTGAAGAGCGACCAGGACTATATTCTCAAGGAAGGTGACTTGGTAAAAATGTAAGCTTAAACCATTTTAGAGTACTTGTCTTTTTCCTAAGCATTTCCATAGTCTCAGTTGCTAATGCTAACGTTCTCTGCTCTTGCTTTTCAGTGATCTTGGGGTCCATGTGGATGGCTTCATTGCTAATGTGGCCCACACTTTTGTGGTTGATGTAGCTCAGGTAGGTGACCTGCTTTGAACTCTGTTCAGCCTGTGGGGGATGGAGGAGAGTGCACTGTTTCTTGCTTCTTATCCCTACCCCCTACCACCATGTAAGTTTTGAGAGAGTCTCTAGAGAAATAAAAGGAAAATGCGTGTTTTCTCTCCTGCTCATTGGCTAGCTTTTCATAATGGGCACAACGATATTAACTGAATAATCAACCAAGTTAGAGTTTTCCAGGAAGGCACTGATTGCATATCCTTATCTACAGGGGACCCAAGTAACAGGGAGGAAAGCAGATGTCATTAAGGCAGCTCACCTTTGTGCTGAAGCTGCCCTACGCCTGGTCAAACCTGGAAACCAGGTAAGTTGTTTAGTCTAAGTCCAAATCATGATAGAGCCAGAATTGCACTAGGCATCTGCAGCAATTCTATATTGAATTGCCAACTTCTCTCACAGGCCACCTATAAAGCAAACAGCTGTTTAGAATTAGCTACCTCTTCTGATGGGATATCTATAAAAGAAGAGGCAGAAACTAAAGAGCTTAATACTAAACAGCAGTTAACCTCGAATGCCTGCCATAGACAGTTCCATGCTAGGTGTGTAGGGATACATGGAGCCTACAGAGATCCTTCCTTTATTGTATTTTGGATGTGTGTCTTTCCCCCAAAATACTTTGAAGTAGATGGCTCACAATAAAACACATACATTTTAAAACTCAATTTTAAAAGGTTATAAGATAATAATAGTATCAGTAAACTGGTGGTAAAGAGAGGCCAAAAGTTCTATACCTTGCAAGACAATATTGGGAAGCCCAGGGATCGTAAACTTTTCATGAATTAATACAATTTAGAGTATTAGACTATTAGTAGAGACATTTCTCTAACACATATCTTCAGAGACCTGTTCAGTCCTAAAAGTATTGTCTTTTGCTGCTTTTCTGTGCTCTCTTCTTCACACTTTTAATCAATTTATACTTCATCCCCATTATACTTAATTGCATCATTTTCACTTAAGCCTCTTAGTTTTCTTTTTTTCCCCATGTGCCAAGAGCTTCACATTTATTTTATTTGTTTTAAACCTTTTTTCAATTACAATTGACATTCAGTATTTTATACTAGTTTCAGGTATACTGAAAGCATAGTGGTTAGACTTTTATAATTTATGAAGTAATCCCCCTGAATATCTAGTACCTACTCGGCACTATACATAGTTATTACAATGTTATAACTATATTCCCTATGCTGTACTTTACATCCCTGTGAAGTTTTCTTTAATGATACCTACTTCATAGAGCTGTTATAAGCACTTTGAACAGTGCCTGGCACATAGTAAACACCTGTGTTAACTATTTGCATGTTGATTATATTGTGTACCTTCATTGGAAGGTAGTGTTGTCTGTTGGCTACTGAATAGCTGTGATATCAGACTTGCTGGGTTCTTAGACCTATTACTATTTAAAAATAACTGAGTTCAAATTTCTTCATCTGTAAAATGAGAAAAATAAAATTATGCCTTATTCTTACAGGGTTGTTGTGATGATTGAGATGATATATGTAAAGTGATTATCATAGTACCTAGCACATAGTTTAGTAATATTAGCTGTGATTAGTTGTTCACTTTTTGTCTAAGAACTAGATTAGGTGAGGATCAGATCATGTTTGAGAGAGGTAAGGGGAAAATGAGTTTGCTGTACCTTACCAGGTTAGAATGCCTGATATAATGGAATAAACACCGAACTTACTGTCATAAAACAGTTTATACTAGGTTTTTTCAGTTAATTGGTTTAACCTTTGGCATATTTAACCTTTCTGAGCCTTAGTTTCCTCATCTTCTAGACTAATATAGATCTGCCCTATTTACCTTCCATAATTGTCTAATTAGACCGTGTTTGTGAAAGTTTATAAAAGGATATGCAAATGTCAGGTATGTTTAAGTTATAGGGATGATAGGGCTGTGACATTAATAATCAATGAAAATTATACTTGATGGAAGATATTAGAGCTCTCAGTTCTTTTATGCTTCTTATTCTCATGGTAGAGAACTTATTAGCCCCTAGTATCTCACCTTTTATTTGATCTTGTACTTTTAGAACACACAAGTGACAGAAGCCTGGAACAAAGTTGCCCACTCATTTAATTGCACACCAATAGAAGGTGAGACCTCAGATACCAGGGTTGAGGGTCTTAAGTATGAGTAATTTAGCAGAATTAAGGATTTTACTCCTTTGAGGATCATTCCTGGCTCTAGAACAGTCTAAGCCAAAAATATTAGTGCCCTGGGTTTCCATAGCCAGGCACTTTTTTTTCTCTTATTGCCTTCCCCATCAAACTACATAAGTGGGTGGATTTGGAAACCTTTTGAGATTCTAGATGTCTGGTACCATAGGCTGTGTCCTGTGTACAGGTATGCTATCACACCAATTGAAGCAGCATGTCATCGATGGAGAAAAAACCATTATCCAGAATCCCACAGACCAGCAGAAGTAGGTGTCAATTCTACTCTTGTTTTCCACCATTCCAGACTAGTCATGAATTTTATCTTCCATATTCCCAGCCTAATCCTATCTACCTTCTATTCTGAACTCCAGGAAATACTTTTTGCTCTTTATGGTTCCCTTTCTATTCTTTTTAGGAAGGACCATGAGAAAGCTGAGTTTGAGGTACACGAAGTATATGCTGTGGATATTCTCGTCAGCTCAGGAGAGGGCAAGGTGAGGAGAGTGTACCAGAACTAGCAAAGAAGGGAGACTGAGAGTGTGTTCCAGGAGCATCTAAACAAAATGTGACCTAACTTACTCTTTTAGGCCAAGGATGCAGGACAGAGAACCACCATTTACAAACGAGATCCTTCTAAACAATATGGCCTAAAAATGAAAACTTCACGTGCCTTCTTCAGTGAGGTCGAAAGGCGTTTTGATGCCATGCCGTTTACTTTAAGGTATACTGCACTTAGCAAGGACAAAACTTAGAATCACTCTGATTCATAGACCACACACCCAGGAAAACTCTTCCCTCCTCCACCCTTCCTTCCCTCTCCTCTCCTGCCCCAACTTGTAGTTGTAGCCTGCATTCATGCGCTGTCTTATTCTCCCCATCCTAAAAGCAATCCTAAGCATGATTTCTGCCTGAGGGTAGGAGCTGTTTAAAAACATGAGCGAAAATTTAAAAAGAAAAAAAAATAGAAAACACGAGCCAAATGGTAAAACTTGATAGGGAGTTTAAGGATACCTTAATTTGTCTTTTCCTATCCAGAGCATTTGAAGATGAGAAGAAGGCCCGGATGGGTGTGGTAGAGTGCGCCAAACATGAACTGCTGCAACCATTTAATGTTCTCTATGAGAAGGAGGGTGAGTTCTAAAAAGTTTGACTGTAGAGTACTTGGTTATATGGTCCCCTCCTTCCTCCCTATAGCTTACAGAAGAGTATGGCAGGGGAACATTTTATCAAATCATTTCTCTCCCATAGGTGAATTTGTTGCCCAGTTTAAATTTACAGTTCTGCTCATGCCCAATGGCCCCATGCGGATAACCAGCGGTCCCTTCGAGCCTGACCTTTACAAGTCCGAGATGGAGGTCCAGGATGCAGAGCTAAAGGTGAGCTGAGATGGAAAGTGGTGAGCATGTGGCACCTGTCCTGGGAGTGAGGACTAAATGTCAGCAAAGTCCTGAAAAGAAGTATAATATTGAGAGTAAGACTTCTCCACATTCCTCAAAATTTGTTTTTCTTCTTCCTCCTATTTTCCAGGCCCTCCTTCAGAGTTCTGCAAGTCGGAAAACTCAGAAAAAGAAAAAAAAGAAGGTCTGTTATGATCATCCTTCCTTTGGCAGGGTGAACCTGATCTTTCTTTATTCCACTTTTCTGGGTCGTGGCGGGGTACAGATTTCTGTATGTCCTTATTTTCCCCCTTCTCAGCTCTGACGTAGAGAATTAGGATATATTTGTCCTTGGTCCCCCAGATACTGCTCCAAGGTATTGGAAACTGACAAGTCTTCTCTCTCTTTCTATGAGTATAGGCCTCCAAGACTGCAGAGAATGCCACCAGTGGCGAAACATTAGAAGAGAATGAAGCTGGGGACTGAGGTGGGTCCCATCTCCCCAGCTTGCCGCTCCTGCCTCATCCCCTTCCCACCACACCCCAGGCTCTGTGAAGTGCAGTTCGTCTTCTCCACCCAGGACCACCAGCAGAGTGGGGGTCTCCCTGCCCCATCCCAGGCCCCCAACCCAACCCCCTTCCAACAACAACAAGCTCCAACTGACTCTGGTCTTGGGAGGCCAGGCTTCCCAGCTACCGAAGACTACTTTAAATAGAAAAGAAATTGAATAATAAAATCAGGAGTCAAAAATCCGTCGTCTTCAAGCCCCTCTTTCTAGCCTTTTTTCTACCACTCTGCTTGGTCAAGGTTTATGGCCCTACAACAACAGGGAGGATGCTAAAGTAGCCACCACCACTAAAAATTCACCTGGAATTTTTTATCCACTTCAATGTCAGCATTTTCCCATCTGTTGGGGCTTGTTCCTCACTTTTCCTACTCTCCCCAAGTATTCTATGTGGCCTCAAAATAGAGAGGAGCTGTTCTTCAGATTATTTTTATTCATATGTAGCAGATTCCTTTTCTGATCCAGGCTGGTCTGGTCAGGCCACTCCCATTTTTAGGAGCTGAAGCCTGTACTTAAGGGATTTCCATCTATGAAATGGATCCTCATTTATAAATCTTTTTAGCCATTTTTGTTCTGTAGGACTCCCCCCCCCCAAAAAAAAACAAAAACAAAAACAAAAACAAAAAAACCTGTAAAGGAGGAGTTTATTTCAACCTTGTCCATTTCTTTGGAGTCAGTGGAGTATTCCCTTGCTCCATTTTAGAAATCTGAGCTGGAAGCTCAACTGTGGTTTTGTTCTCTGTTTGAAATATTTTGATCCCCTCCCTTGAAAGAAAGACCAGGAACCAGAGGAGCAAACTGATTGGAAGACAACTGGCTTTCTGAAGCTGTGGACTTGAATGGATTGCTAGGGCTTTGTGGAGAGAAAGGTGATGAATTTCGGCACCTCTGGCATGCAGTCCCAGGGAACTAGGGCTCCTGCTAACTTATGAGGTTTTTAAACACATTGAAAATGACATGGCGTTAAAATAAATTTGGATTTACTCAATCCTGTGCCTTTGCTGCTCTTATTTGATGGAAGTGGGAAAGTGTCTGATGAAGTGATGACTGAACTGTTTTTCTGTGTTGCCATATTCTACCTTTTTAAAACAAGGAATTCTTTCCCAACCCAAAGACGTAAATAAGTCCTAGATTCTCTGAATTTAGATAGAGTAAATTTTCTGAGAGTTTAATTTTTCTAAAGTAAAAACCTTGCTGCTGATACTTTGTTCAGGACTAGCACATTTAATGTGCACTGCAAAAAGTAAAACTATACAAGTGTTTGTCTTGATTTAGGAAGCCAAGAAGAATGCCTTTAGTGTTATGCAATTTTTCAGTACCAGCCTGAGATGAATATTAGATTTGAATGTCTTACATGTGAAGCATGCTGATCTAGTGATACTACAGTGAACAAAAACAGGGCTTTTCATAAAAGCTTATAGGCTAGTGGGCAATCAACAGGTGAAATCCTGGTGAACTTGATGTAAAATAGTTACAGGGGTTTTTTTGTTTTGTTTTCGAAACCTATTCTGATGGTGAAAATACTACAACTACTTAAGCCCTAACCTGAAGTTTCAAAAACCTCGTTTTAACAGAATTGAAGGGTGACATGTTATTGCAAATGCTGTAAAGGGAAACCACAGAGGAGGGATTATAATCAAAAACTTTACAGCATCAAAGGTGAAGTCTATGGTTAAGAATTCTTTTCCATCCCTCATAACTCGTTAACTATAGCCAAATCTTTGGATATCTGTATACCAGGTACTTCTGACCTGTCTATACCCTGGCAAATTACCTTAACACGAAATAACATTCTTGCCCTAGAGAAGACAGCAGATCTTGCCCCTCACCATTAGTTTGATTTTTACCTCCAAGTTTAGAGAATTACTGAAGTATTTTCTGAACAAGATGCATTGTGGCCATGAATCTAGTGACATTCTACCTCAGGCATAGTTGGCTAGGAAAGACCATAGTTGGCTAGGAAAAAGTTTAAGTGACAGGTTATTTTTGTAGTGTGACAGCTTTCCTGACTCTCCAACTTTACAGCCTCCCACATTCTGGAACCTTAGGACCTTTGGAGGTTCCGAGATCGATTCTCCCTGCAGCAATTTAGTTTAGCAAATAAGGCAAGCAAGTAAAACAAATTAGAAACTTTTGTACACTCTGCACTTATTCATAATAAAATGGAGGGTGTCTCCGGGAAACTGCAACTCCCATGAAGCAATGAGAGGGAAGGCGGAAGTCGTTATCCTTTCCTCGTCTGCACTTTTAGGTCCCATATAGGAAATAGGTGCTCGCGCTTAAATAATACAGTGTCCTTATAAAACTGGAGACGAAGAATTTTGTAACTCACATCCAAAACACTTCCAAGAGATCTAAGTCGCCAGATACCTGCGGGGGCCGGAAGCTATTGTCACACCCCTTGTGCAGCCCCGCCCCTGGGGAGGTAGGGCGAGGCAGCGGAAGTGACGACACTAAGCGCTCTCTTAAATGGCCGTAGGCGGGCACTTATCCCTCTCTCGGCCTTAGCGCCATTTTCTTAGGTTGGTGTGCGGCCCTCGTGTGGGTTTCGCGTACAATCCATTAACATCTGGTTTCTGCACTTACCATCGTTACAGTAAACTAACTGTACCCTTTTTCTCTTTACTCGTAGAAACCTCCTCGCCATGAGAGCCAAGGTAAGCAGTTCCTGGCAGCTGAGGCTCACTGATGGAACTGATGATTGGGGGTGGAGACCCAAGCAAGGGAAGTCCGCCTTGGTTCCCAAACCGCTGCGTTCTCAGGGGGCCCTCAGAGCTAGTAGAAGAGGTAGGATAGTTTGGGGAGAAGCAGAGGAGGTAGTTGGGTAAGTGCTGTGCAAAAAGAGGGTGAGTAGAAGAGTGCACGCGATGTTCGATGTTTTCTTGGGTTGGGGGTGGGAGGCCAGATTATTGAGATTTCTGTGACTAAGCCCTCATACTTGGTCAGGAACCTACCTGTTACTAAAACTAATGACCTGTTTTTTTTATCGTTGCCTCTGGTTATGATTCAATCTCCAGTGGAGGAAGAAGCGAATGCGCAGGTATGTTGAGACTTTGCTGGCACGGGAAGAGGGAAGTGGAGCATGCCTTGGACAAAATTTGGAACATTTGGTTTAGAAATCTCAAAGAACTTTAGGTGAAAAACGTTTTCAGCATTGACTTGCTAGAGCCAGGTGTTTGACACAAGACAATAGAATGTAGTGCATGATCTTTTTACCACCCTGTGTGTTGTATGCACGTTTAAAATGAAAAAGACAGTTCAGGCTTGTGAGCAGGAAGTATATTCTCGTGTCTGCTTTTCAGGCTGAAGCGCAAAAGAAGAAAGATGAGGCAGAGGTCCAAGTAAACTTGCTAGCTTGTGCACCCGTGGAAGCCATAGCAGAAATAAGGAAAACCAGAGGCCAGGGACGCTGATACAAATTGTTGGACTGCATGCCTGCTGTCTAGAACTTCTCAGTGGATCTAGAACATCAGTCGCCATCTGATCGCTGCCACCGCCTTTTGAGAGACCTGCCTTGCTCGTACAAAAACAACAGTTCCTTATGGTCCTTTGCTCTGGACCTGTGACATTCTGGACTAGTTCTGTTCTCAGTTGTGGCTGAATGTAACGTGTACAATAAATGACCTCACGCTGTCTTAGCTGAAGAGAAAAATCTGTCTGTTTTGTGGTTATTATGGTTCCATTGGCTGGGGATTCTTTATCTGTACAGTCAGCCCTCTTACTACCTGGTACTGTAAAGTTTGTCAAGCTACACAGGAAACTGCGGGGCAGCGGAAAAGTGGGGTGGACCCTGTCCCTAGGTGGACCTAGCCAACATCTGGATTTGAGTATAGGTAGCCCATTCTGAAAAGTATGTAGTGGACGCCGAAGGACAAGGTGGTTCGTGGGCAGCTTAGGGGGAAATGATGTTTCCGCCCTAGCTTCCCTATCTAGACCTAACATTGCTAAATTCCTTTTGGGGCCCCCTTACTGTGCGGTTGGATCAGGTTGCCATAGTGACGCGCAAAGCTTGCTGGGAACTTCCTGCAGTTACCCTAGCAAGTACTTTGCGCACCATAGAGTATAGTTCCGGGTCTGGTAGCTAGAACAGGGTAGCTGCTCTTTGTCGAAGCTAGAGGACCGGCAGGCGGCAGCAGCAACTACGGCGGCGGCGGCAGGTGAGGGAGGCGGGAGACTTAGGTGGAGGCCGCGCCCGGAGGGGAGGAGTCGAGGCTGGCCCAGCGGCTGGGCTCTGCCGGGCTACACAAGGCCCCCCAGGATCGAGCTGGCTCTTACGCCCCAGGGCTGAGCCCGTTTTCTGACTGACCCCGCTTCGCGAGCAAACGACTGCTCCGTGACGTCACAGCCCTGCCCATCCCCTCAGCTTGGTGTCACCTGGAGTCCCTCTCTCTGCTTCACTTCGTGCTCCCTTAGTGTCCTAGTCACCCGGCGCACGCCATGGCCGAACTCTGGTGGCACTTCACAGAACCTGCCAAACTACATTTCCTGTGAGAAACTCCTAGGACTTTCTTCGCAAACTCTCGGGCTTTGCGAAGCGTCATAATCAGCGCCCAAGACTAATATGCCGTCCGACTGCACTGTCAGTCGCTGCCCTTGCAAGACTTCCCATTCGGAGTTCCTAACCCCAACCCTAGGCCAGGGTCTGAACCCCACATCCTCCTTCATCTTGAGGCAGGGCTCCCCCTCACCCTTTGTTCACTCAGGGCTGCTTTTTCGACCCATTCTCCTAGGTTTTCCAAATTAGTTCGATCCCTTAAACTTTTACCGGCAATTTCTCCCTTTGACAGGTGAATTTCAGTTGGAACCCTGAGGAAATCTTGATGTGCTCAGAGCTCTTGCCATTTTGTCAGACTTCTTTCTTGTAAAAATTACCCCGTCGTCTTCTATTCTTACCCTTTCTCCCACCCAAGTCTCTCTCTCTCTCTCTCTCTTTTTTTCTCTATTCAGAACCCAGCAGTGATGTGGAGGTGGAGACCCACAGGAGCCCCGGACTTCACCTGAGCTACCTCAGGTATTGAACAATCCTGGGGGAGTTGTATGGGAGGAGTATCATGTCTGATTATCTGCATCTATTGGAATTTGCAACGTGGGTCAGGCATAGATAGATGGCATTTATTTTTCATCAGGTCCTTTCCCTTTTATTATAAGAGTTGGTATATTTTACCACTCTTTTCCTAGATTGGGACTTACCTCCCTTTGGAGGAAGAGGACCCCTCTTCTTTTACAGAGTCTCTTGTAACTCTGGCCTCTGGTTGGTTTATTTTAGAGAAATGTGAAGGCAAAGTCAAGGCAATGGGGTGAATGGTTGAGGGGACATCAAGGCCAGAGAAATTGGGAAGATTCTCTTATACTCAAGGAGAAACAATATGAAGTTTTCCTATTTGGACAGCAGGGGGAGCCTAAACACTACCTAGGAAAGGCTTAGGAGGTCAGACACGTGGTGGCGGGGACTCCCACTCTTGGGGGTGGGGGGGTGAGGGGAGGGCTAGAACCAGGGCAGTGGACTGACATTCCAGAGCGCTCTTGGGAAAGATGAGACTTAAAAAGCTTTTATAGAGTCTATAAATAAAGAGGATCTTTATGGGGTGAGGAATGGTGTGGTTTGATGTCAGTGGTATCTTCCCATGGAGGGTTAGGAGGTGATAAAATGGGCAAAATAAGGTCACTTGTTCTTGTGAAATTAACTCCTTCCTCCCACCTTGATCTTGCCACAAATGGTTTTGTTTTTTGGGAGTCTATAAGTGGAGATTTCAGCTGTAGAACTCTTCCCTTGAAATAGAGGGGAGGGGGCTAACCACACTAGGGTTGATAGTGGTGGTGAGCTGGGAGAAAATATTAAAAGACGGGTTTAGGGACTGCCCGCAAGCTGGTGAAACACGTCTCTTCACTTAGGATTTCCTGGAGTCTAGAGCTGTATTATTTCACAGAACTCTCACCTGAAATCCCATGGAAAAGGGATTAAGGGAAGTTTTGTCACCAATATCCTATTATTCACAGCCCTAGTAGCTCATCAGCATATCTTTGCCACAATTCCCAGTCTCCTCATAGTCTTTTCAGGCACCTATAGCAGTTTTTAATTTCGCTTTCACAACTTTAATAAGGTCAGTTTAGAAAGGAACATAAAATCCAGTACTATTCTCTCCCTGCCCCCTCCTTGGCCTGTCATTAGTGTAATGAAATGGCTTCACCCGAGCTCCCTCTCTTCTCCTTTAGCCAGGCAAGTGTGAATCATTCTGCCCCAGACCAGGTGCACAAGGGCCTGGGTGGGACTTCTGACAAGCCAGCCAGTCTAGGCAGAATTCTCATCCCTTGGATTCCCCATCTCCAAAGCGTTGCCCCTCTGGCCTTTCTCTTGCTGGGCTGCCTACGCTACAGTCAGGAAGAGTGTAGCCTCTGTTTAACACAGTTCTCCTCTTTCCTAGTGGTCACCAAGGGTGGCAAGAAAAGGAAGAAAGCCCTGAGTTGGGGGGTACCAGGATGCCTGACCGGGACAGCTATGCCAACGGCACTGTGAGCAGCGGTGGAGGCTCTGGAAGCGGTGGCAGCGAGGAAGCCAGTGGGACAGGGGCAGGCAGTGGCGGGACCAGCTCAGATGCCATCTGTAGAGATTTCCTGAGGAATGTGTGCAAGCGAGGCAAGCGTTGCCGCTATCGCCATCCAGACATAAGTGAGGTGTCCAACTTGGGGGTGAGCAAAAATGAATTCATCTTCTGCCATGACTTCCAGAACAAGGAGTGTAGTCGCCCAAACTGCCGATTCATCCATGGCTCTAAAGAAGATGAAGATGGCTATAAGAAGACAGGAGAGCTTCCCCCTCGGCTGAGGCAGAAAGTGGCAGCAGGCTTGGGCCTTTCTCCAGCTGATCTACCAAATGGCAAGGAGGAGGTCCCTATCTGCCGGGACTTTCTCAAGGGCGACTGCCAGAGAGGAGCCAAGTGCAAGTTCCGTCATCTACAGCGGGATTTTGAGTTTGATGCTCGGGGTGGAGGAGGCACTGGTGGTGGGGGCTCAACAGGCCCAGTCCCCCCAGGACGACGTCATGATCTCTATGATATTTATGACCTCCCTGACAGGGGCTTTGAGGACCATGAGCCAGGCCCCAAGCGCCGGAGAGGTGGATGCTGCCCCCCAGATGGTCCCCATTTTGAATCGTATGATTATAGCCTGGCTCTACCCAGAGGGGTGGAGTGCAGACTGCTAGAGGAGGAGAATGCCATGCTCAGGAAGCGGGTAGAGGAGCTAAAGAAGCAGGTCAGCAACCTTCTGGCCACAAATGAGGTACTCCTGGAACAAAATGCCCAATTCCGAAATCAGGCCAAGGTCATGACCCTGAGCTCCACGGCACCAGCAACTGAGCAGACTCTGGCCCCCACCGTGGGCACTGTTGCCACTTTTAACCATGGCATTGCCCAGACTCACACTACTCTCAGCAGCCAGGCTTTACAGCCTCGCCCTGTGTCTCAGCAAGAACTGGTGGCCCCCGCCGGAGCTCCAGCTGCTCCTCCAACTAACGCTGCACCTCCTGCTGCTCCACCACCCCCACCCCCACACTTGAACCCAGAGATCACGCCACTGTCAGCTGCTCTGGCTCAAACAATTGCCCAGGGAATGGCACCCCCACCTGTCTCCATGGCTCCTGTGGCTGTATCTGTGGCTCCTGTGGCCCCTGTGGCTGTATCAATGGCCCAACCCTTGGCAGGAATCACAATGAGCCACACCACCACTCCCATGGTGACTTACCCTATTGCTTCCCAGAGCATGCGTATTACAGCCATGCCGCACTGATGGGGCCAATGGACACTCCCCTGGTATAGTCTCCCAGGGCTGGGGTTGAGGGGCCCTAACCTACCCACTCACCTAGCCCTCCCAGGCCCTGTCTGAAGGGCTTATTCAAGAACTAGGACAAGAAACTACAAGGAGTTTGCTTCTGAGAAGGGGTTGGGTTTTCTCTCACCTCCCTTTTATGAGGGTCCTCTTGTCCATTTTCCTTCAAGTCTCACTGAGGGGGCTTGCATAGGAGTGCAGACTGAAGCCAGCAGAGAGGAAGGAATGACTGAGGGGCTGTATGTCTCCTAATGGGAAGTTGGGGACATGCTTGGTCTTGTCCTTTCTTCTGCACAGCACAGGTTCCAGCACTGGCTTTGGAAGAAAAAAATACCCTGCCCAGAAGGAAAGCCAAGAAAGATTGGGAAGTGGGTGGCCAGGAGAGAGGCCTGATAGGAGCCTTCAAACATTTTGGGATCTAGTTGAGTTGGACAATACAGGAACTGCTCCTGGGCCCATGGGTAGGCAGGGACCATAGTACTTCAGCCCAAAGACTAGGGGAGCATTCATGACCTTGATTTGGCGTGGAAATTCATAGGGCAGGGCCCATCACTTTCCAAAGAAATAAAAAACAATTCTTTTTAACAAATGGAGGCAGTGAAAACTTGCTTAGATATCCTGTGTGGAAGATGGGAGCAGTAAATAGATGTTATGTCAAAATGGGATAGATAAAGACCCCACACTCGCAGAGCTTGGATAAAGTTGGACAGAGGTTAGTGAAGAAGGGTAGGAACCCAGAATAAGACCAAATGGGGCTCTGGGGAAGGCATTTTGTTGGGTAAAAGCACTGGAGTCACCTAGTCTAGATTAAAAATAGTCCCATCTGTTCTGGTTTCTATCTGCATGTACTATTCCTAGGTTGCCTTAGTAACCAGGGCTCCAAGGGTCATTTAGTGGGGCAGGTACTAAGGAGGGTGGATGTGCTGGGAAATGGGAATGGGATATGTATTGACATCCTTCCCTTATTCAAACAAAGCAGGGCAGGTGGCAGTTACTGAGTTATTGATGGCAGTTAATATCCCTCCTACCCAATCCCTTCCTCAGTTACAAATGCCTTAAACCTTCAAGGCTTGGAAGATGCTGGGAAAAGGAGAGTTCTGGGAACACAATTCTCAGGGTTCATCCTTTTTTTTCCCCTCTGCTTCCACACAGGACCACAGAGGTTTTAAATCCAATTAAGAGGCAACAAGCCCGAGTGCCCCAATAGCCAAACCTCAGTTTCTCCTCAGCTCATGGCTGATATAGGGGAAACAACTCAGGTGTCTAGTGGAACAGTGGATTTGGGGGTAGAGAAAGTGATCCTGGGTTGTTTTCCCCAATATATCTCCTGCTGTCTTGTTTGGTTGATCATTCAGGTTACACCTGGGGTTGAGATGGTGGGCTAGGTCAAGGCCAGTCAAAAAAAAAAGGATCTAAAGACTAAAAATGGGCAAATTCTGAAATATTGTTTGTGGATTTTGGAAACCACACATTGATAAGCTAAATGTTGATTTTCTGGCACAATTCTGGATTAAAAAAGATGGTTTATGATTAGAGACAATTGTGATCGTAGCTGCCAACATGAATTTGTCCCAGCAAAATAATGACACTTTTTTTTTTTTTGCCAAGTATCTTTAAAGAGTTAGAAACTACAAATTATATGTCCTTTATTAACATACTCCAGCTAAAGACCACCAGGAATACATCATTTGTTGAGCAAGTTGAGTTTAATGCTCATTGCAATGATAGAGGGTGCCATAGGGAACCGTGGTGTGTCTCAGCAAGAGGGTGTTAGGAGTTACAGGACTTGGACTTTGGTTAACTGATTTGGGGGAAGGCTTAAAGAAGTGGAGCTTAACTCTGGATTGAGTGCTGTCAGGAAAGCAGGGATAATTCTATGATTGGGTATCTTTATCTTAAGTAGAAAAAGGGTAGACTAGAGCGAAGTGAAGCTGTAATTGGCAATGAAGCACCAGTCAGTCACTAGCTGGGCAAGGGGGATGTTGCTATTTTGTGATTTGCAACTGACCTTGTTTTGTACTTAAACAAAATTGTGAAGTGGTCTTGTTTTTTGCCTCACTTCATCACAGTCACTAAGTACCCTTGTCCTATGTTGGTGTTTTATAAGATCGTGGCCAAAAGGAGAGCACCATTTCCTACCTGTAAGCCTAGGTCAGCCCCTAACAACTCCAAAGCCTAGCTCTGTCAGACCAGTTCTCAGATGTCAGGAGCTGCTTTCTTCTTTTTCATCCAAGTCATTACAGATAAAAGAATTATGGGGACATGGTTCCATAGTGTAGCGGTTAGCGTGTCTGCTTTACACGCAGCAGGTCCTGGGTTCACACCGCAGTGGAGCCATGGTCCATGATCTATGGCCATGCCACCCTGAACAAGCCTGATGTCTGATCTCAGAAACTAAGCAGGATTGGGCCTGGTTAGTACTTGGATGGGAGACCACCTCGGAAGACCAGGTGCTGTAGGCATAAATAAATAACTTTAAAAAATAATAATTATGGGTCAGATCGTTTGGTGGAATCCAAACTGAACATTTATGCCTAGTAAACGTTGATTAGTGCATTCATATTAGAGAAATCTCTAATGATATACCCAAGGCCTATGTTTTATTAAAAAAAAAACTTCTATAAAAATATAAACAGCTGTTATCAACAGTAACACTAATACTGAAAGTGTCTGTAACTTGGATTGACTAATTTAAACCAAGGGGTCAAAACGGATCAATTTGGATTGACCATTCCCCTAAAAATTTGCTTGAGCCTGTCTGAGGAACAAATGCAGAGATCTACATTAGCAATAATTCACATAAGAACATGGGACCTCCGATGGCTACAACAAATTAAAACCTTAGTCTTTTTGTCAATTTATAAATATTGAGAGCCTGCTATGTTCTAGGCACCTTTCTAGGAGCTCCATAAGGGTAACAGAACCAGAGTCATGCATTGTAAATATAGCAGTTCTTCCATGTCTGTCTGAGTGGAGCCACTTCTAAAGTATTGTGTGTCGTCCTAAATGTAATTTTTAAAGAGAGTCATTGACAAACCAGTGGGGTAGCTGAAAGAAATTGACAAGACTGAGGGGAAAACCCCATATATGTCTTTGAATATCTGAAGGGCTGCCTAATGGAGAAAAGGTCTTGTCTTGCTGTATAGGAAATAAACAGAGTTCTAGAATAATAGCTAACATTTATTGAACAAGGTACTTTGTGCTATGCACTTTACATGCAATATCTCATTGACACAATGGGTATTATCATACCTGTTTGTAGAGGAGAAAGCACCTTAAAGAGTAATCAGCTCAGAGTTCCACAACTAGTAAGGAATAGAGCCAGGAATCTATTCAGGCAGTCTGACTCCAGACTTGGCATAAGAAGGTTCTAATGATAGAGTCAGCCAACAATGGGACCACTACTTTGCTGTAACTTGCTGGGAATAATACAGATGAAATCTCCAATCTTGCCCATTCTACCTTGGAGAGTGGGCTGGGGCCAGATTACCACAACCAACCCTCTGCCTCCCCTAGGAGGCCATTGTAGTTTACATACAAATGCAGGTTGCAAATCCAGGAAGTGTTGGTACTCTCAGACACTTCTAACAAATAGCCATCCTTTTTCCTGTCACCCATTTACTGCTTATCACCACCAGGTGGCACCAGGCAGCAAAACTGTTAGTGAGCTGGGACCCATCCTGTTTACTAGTTCTGGTGCATTGCAGCTGCTGATTGTGTGGCTCCTGAGCCCCGGCTGAGAAGAGACCTTCCTGAGGATGAGCTTTTTGTGCTCCATATACCATCTTCAGAGGGTGTGGTGATCTAGATGGAGTGAGAAAGGGGAGAAGTTTGGAAAGGGACCACCATACGTCACCCTCTCTATCTCCCAGCGAAAGGGACAGCTTCCCCCTAATCCAGTGCTTGGCAAATTTCAGTTTACAGAGAGGTTTCCCTCCAAGGAGGCTCATCTGTTTTTCTGCTATAGTTCTGCTTCATCAGTTGGCGAGCAAGATTGCTCATACTTCCTCCAAACTCCTTGAGCTCCTTTTCTACCTGCTCACCTCTGCGACTATGGAGGACATAGGAGGCAGATAGAAAATTGTTCCTTATACCATTCTGCAAACTGAATGAAGCAGTCTAAATATTGTTAGCCTCAGGAAAGTAGAGAAAAGGAAGTAAGAAAATTTAAGTTTAAGGGAGGAAGGCTGGGCAGGGATAGATTTTAAGCAGCTTTGATGAAACACAGCCTGATGAAATCTTTGCCTCGCAGAGCCAGATAAAATTATCAGCTGTAGATACAGTCTCTCCCCAATGATCAACCCTAGTTCCCCTGCTGCATCAAACAATAACGCAAGCCCCTCAAATACTTCACTAAGAGGTAATCATCTTAATATATATGTTAAAAATCTAAAAAAAGAAAAGGTAATCATGACCAACTCCTCCTGGGCTTCCAGTTAGTCTAGTAGTTCTAAGTCCCTGGAGAACACTCCACCTCTAAGTTCAGTTAACAAGTAAATGGTCATCATCAATGTACCCTGCACTTTTCCCTCTCTAAACTTGTACAATACAATGTATAACTGCATTAATTCTACATCTGACTGTATCCCAAACCTTCTAGCTCTGGCAAATGAGAAATGGAATCGTCTTGTTACTCTTGGTTTCTCATTGTAGTGTCCTTGCAGTCATTGGGGGCACAAAATTCTTGGAAAATTTAATCATTTCTGCTGCAGCTGAGCCTCTCTCACCCACTCTTTGGAGCTGATTTAGTTTTAATCTGCCCTCTATGATATAATGTACTAACTCTTGGAGATTTCTCAAAAGAAAGCCTCACTTCCTATTCATTTAGCTCCCCCACCCCCTAAACTCTTTTCTCAGATTCTCTAATTTTCTCTAGCATCTGTCATTACACTGCAGACAGGGAAGAGGACTGGGGACAGGATAGGCAGGGTCGGTTACAGAACACTTTCATTCCAAATAGGGTAATTTCCTTTCCTTTTGTAAGGACAGCCAGGGAAAAAATGGAAGGAATGTGCTTAAAATATGAAAACTAGGGAAAGCTGACAAATGCACATGTTGGAATCTCAGACCAAATCCTGCCAAACCGAATGGAGTGAAAGGGGATCCTGACCTTCCACAACCCAACTTCACATCTCTAGCTCCTTCTAAAACCCAGTAATTGGAAGTGCGGCTATGAGTGTCGTCATACCACAGGCACTCCAGTCCCACGTGGGGAGGTCCTCGTCCCGCCTCTCCTCTTTAAATGGTAACCACATCGCCTTCTCTTTCTGGCCAATCCAATGCCGCTCCTTAGCCTCTTTTCTCCTCCCCCACCCCATCACAGACCGCCCATTTTGGCACTCTGGTCCAATCAGGGAGGTCCTGCCTCCCCGGAGCCTTTCCCTTACCCGCGGGAGGTGGGCGGGATTTCGGCCTTTTGACTCCACCTTGGTTTCTGCGGCGCCGACCAATCCAACCTTCAGAAAGAAAGGGTGTGGCTTGAAGTCCCCTCCCCATTTGGGGGTTTACGGTTTGCTGCGGGGTAGCCACTCTTAATACTAGGCAACCTCGAAGCGGGTCTCTGGGCTAGACCGGTCTTCCGAGACGTGGCACCATGGAGCCTTCCCCTGGAGACGACTCCAGCCCCAGTTCTGTCGACCAGCCCTCTGCTCCTTCCAGCCCCCCTGGCCAGCCTCCCACTGCTCACACAAAGCCGGACCTGAGTTCTGGGAACCAACCTGCAGGTCCAGGCGCTGCGGGTGAGGCCCTGGCGGTGCTGACTTCGTTCGGACGGCGGTTGTTGGTGCTGGTGCCGGTGTACTTGGCCGGAGCAATAGGACTCAGTGTGGGTTTCGTGCTCTTCGGCCTCGCCCTCTACCTGGGCTGGCGCCGGGTCCGCGACAAGAAAGAACGGAGCCTTCGAGTAGCGCGGCAGCTGCTGGATGACGAGGAGCGCCTCACAGCGAAAACACTTTATATGAGCCAGCGAGAGCTACCTGCCTGGGTGAGCGACCACCCTCAATCCTCAGTGCAGCATAGCCCCCTTCTAGCCTCAGTTCTAGGGCTCTCCATCCTTGTCCCTAAAATTGTCAGCTCCCTACTTTAGTACAATGGGCCCCGCCCAGACTTTCCCCTCTCGCCCCACTAGCCTCTTGTCTCTTGGGACCGACCATCTATCCATCCCCTTCCCCGCTCCCTGCCTTTCCGCACACGCAGATCCTTCCACAGAATAAGGGCTTCTTCCTCTTCCTCTAAAGCAGTACTAATTCTGCCGTGGCTCTCCCTCCTGCTAGCCAAGCTCTTTTTTGCTTTTGATGCCACTCTCGCCTTTGCTGCTCCTGGGCATCCGCGTTTCTGCAGCTGCTCAGAGGGTTCCCTTGTCTCTCCTGTCCTCCTCAAGACTCCCCCGCCCCTATTCAAGGCCATAAGATTCTTCTCCCTTTTCCCGCTCTTATCTCTGGGGACATGCTGGGACCCAGCCTCGGGAGCGCAGCACAGCCCAGCTCCAGCACCTGGCCAGACCTTCCGGCCCTCGCCGCCTTCCAGCCTTAGGCATCCGGGCCGCAGTGCAGGCAGGCGGCTGCTGGATGAAGGGCGGAGGTGCCGGGGCGGTGTGCGTGTAGGGGTGGGGGGAGCAGTTGAAGCGGGGGGAGGGAGCGCGACTGCTGCAGTGCCCGCTGCCCACACTCTACCTCCTCTGGCCGGCCCCACCCTTTTCCGGACTGTGGGCTGCGCTTACTTGGTTGAGGCCGAGATTCTTATCTCTACACTCCTTTCCTTAGGTGGGGGGCCGGATGCCTTCTCTCAGGCCTTGCAGAGACACAGCCCGTTACCCAGTCCCTTCCTGCTCCTCCCTACCTGCTCCTCCCAGCAGAGGTGCCTGTCTAGGGGGACAATGGCAGCAGAGAAGAACCAAAGTGGACACTAGGCAGACACAGCTATGCTACCTAGGCCTAAGAATGGAGAGGGGAAAAGGGTAGAAATAGTCTCAAGGGAATTGTAGCCCAGGCAGCAACTATCTTTGTTCTTCTTACTCCTCAACATGGAAACTAATCCTTCAGAAGCAACTAACCTTTCTCTTCCCCCAGTACAAAGCACAAGTGTCCTTCTTTCCCGTAAAAGGAGTCACACAAGTAGAAAGAAAAAACACAGGCCAGGGCCTAAATAATTCTTTTGGTCCATTCCTGACTTAAGGAGCTGCTTCCCTCTTCACCTTCCTGGTATAGAAGCCCCAGTCAGAGGAGAGGGGGAAAGGCTCCAAAAGGGAACCAAGCTTTCTCCAATCCCAGAATTTCCTCCTTAAACTCTGACTTGGCAGGACCTCCCCCTCCAGAAAGAATGTGTCCTTCTCCTCCCGCCTCCTCTCTGCCCCAGCAGCTGTCATTTCACATCCCTAAGCTATCCAACAAAGCAACTTAATGTGGCCTACACCCTGTCAGCTCTCCTTGTCAGAGAGACCTCAGTGCCCCCAAACCTTGTGGAGGAATGAAACTTCAGGACATCGCAGCCCCTCCCCACAATCCCTGGTTGTGAGGAAGCCCTGTCACACTTAGGTTTTCTTTTCTCTGTGGGTATCCCAACCCCCACCCCAGCATCTTCATAGGAAACCACAGGCAGGAGGGTGTGCTCATTACTATCTCTGTCTCCTCACCCCCAGGTCAGCTTCCCAGACGTGGAAAAGGCTGAGTGGCTAAATAAGGTGAGGGTTGTCTTGATTTTATTTTTCATGGGTAGGAGAATGGGGTTTGCTCCTCTCTCCAGACTCTTGCCACACACTTCAAATCTTGGCCCCAGCCTAGTCCCCAGTGCTTTCTGTGGGAGGATTCTGAAGGACTTGACTTTAGAGGGAGGATTGGGCTCTCCTATGACCCGCTCTCTTTCCTCCCAGATTGTGGCCCAGGTCTGGCCCTTCCTGGGCCAGTATATGGAGAAACTTTTGGCTGAAACTGTGGCCCCTGCTGTTCGAGGATCTAACCCCCATCTGCAAACATTTACATTTACACGAGTGGAACTAGGTGAAAAGGTATGTGTCTAAAAGGGAAAGTAAGAGAGAGGAGGAGATGGGACAGGGAAGGTGGGTGACCCTGGGGGCTGAAGTACTCCTCGCTTTCCCTTCCTTCTCAAGAATTCATCTCTTTCCAGCCATTGCGCATCCTAGGAGTCAAAGTTCACCCTGGTCAGAACAAAGAACAGATCCTGCTGGACTTGAACATCAGGTAACACCACTCACCACTCTTCCCACTTTGCCCTCAACAAGATCTTGGCCACTCAGACTACTTCACTCCCCCTACCCCCAGTTCAGCCTAGTACTAACTCTCTTTGTTCTGTTCCTCACCAGCTATGTAGGTGATATACAGATTGATGTGGAAGTGAAGAAATATTTCTGCAAAGCAGGAGTCAAGGGCATGCAGGTGGGGCAGATGTCAGGAGGGCCCCATAAAGGAGACTTTGCCCTAAATTTCCTCAGATATGGGCAAGTGGGAGGTTGCAAAAACCAAGGATGGCAAAGTCTGGGGAGAAAAAGAAGGCCTTTTCTGAGGAAAGGCTTTGGATCTTCTCTTCTTGTCCCAGCTACATGGTGTCTTGCGGGTGATTCTTGAGCCACTCATTGGAGATCTTCCTATCGTGGGGGCTGTGTCGATGTTCTTTATTCGACGCCCGGTAAGACAAAATGTTGAGGGGATTGAGTGAGGGTGCCCAGCTATGGGGAATGGGGGAGGGAACTGATAAGAAGGCTGAATTCTGGGAACTATTCGATGGATGTGACCATACTACCATATGCTCTGTCCCAATTCCCCTGCTCTTTCCTTCCAGACCCTAGATATCAACTGGACAGGGATGACCAACCTGCTGGATATCCCAGGACTCAGGTATCAAGGATTTACTGAGCACCTACTGAGTGTTCCAGATTGGCTTGGGGGTTTAAGGGTTACAAAGTAGTAAAAAATGCAGTGGTGCCTTCTAGGAGGCTTGACCCCAGTTGGGGAGATAACACAAATATCCCTGAAAAATACCGTGCTGTGATTTTTCTTCTCTGGGTTGGAGTGGGCATTTTGATGGAGAATGAAGAGGGCTGCAGACTGCTCAGCAGGGGCAAAAAGAGAAGAGCTGGGATGGCAGTGAAGGGACAGAGCAGTAGGTGACAATTAGGGTAGAAGAGTAGCATAAAAGGATTTTCAAGGACTTCCTTCTAGCTTTAGTTTCTTGGTTGTGGAAAACATAGTTGGAGTCAGGGGATATTGCAAGTTGGGGCCACCCTCACCTTCTTTTCTACTCCTCCATTCAGCTCACTCTCTGACACTATGATCATGGACTCCATCGCTGCCTTCCTTGTGTTGCCCAACCGATTATTGGTGCCCCTTGTGCCTGATCTTCACGATGTGGCCCAGCTGCGTTCCCCTCTTCCCAGGGTATGGCCTCTCTCCCATTAAATAGATCTTTCTTTCAGAAACCCTGTGCAGGACCCTTAATTTCTCACTATCTGATTCCTACCCTCAGGGCATTATTAGGATTCACCTGCTAGCTGCTCGAGGGCTAAGCTCCAAGGACAAATATGTGAAGGGCCTGATTGAGGGCAAGTCAGACCCCTACGCACTTGTGCGAGTAGGCACTCAGACATTCTGCAGTCGTGTCATCAACGAGGAACTCAACCCTCAGTGGGGAGAGACTTATGAGGTGGGAGAGCTGAGGAGTGGGGCTGTGTGAAATGGGGAGGCCTCGGGAGGTTGTGAGAGAAGATGCTGATTAGATGCAGTTCATGAGAGCTTTATCCTTCTGTGCTCTTCAGGTGATAGTACATGAGGTCCCAGGTCAGGAGATTGAGGTGGAAGTGTTTGACAAGGATCCAGATAAAGACGACTTTCTTGGCAGGTGAGACTCTACCTGTGTTAGGATTCTAAAACCCCAGTGCTACCAAGGGCACGAAGGTAATTATAATCCTTTTCTAGGCCTGGGAATTGTGTATCATTTTCCTTTCTCACTTCTCCACCATGCACGAAGTCATGCGCGCATGCACACGCACGCATGCATGCACGCACACATAAATACCTCCTGAATATAAGGAGAAGGGAGTCTGAGATCTGCCAGTTATTTCTGGGTGGTGAAGGGAGGACCAATGATACGCTACTAATTATTCCCTCTCAACTTCCAGAATGAAGATGGATGTAGGGAAGGTATTGCAGGCTGGAGTACTAGATGATGTAAGTTGAGAGAAGAGGAAGGTGGAGGGTGGTCCTGTTCATTTAGCAGACAATAAGTTGCTACATTGGCAGGAAAGAGGTTAGGTTGCTGTCTGATCTCTACTACACTTCATTCTTTTCTACTTTTTCTTCAGTGGTTCCCTCTACAAGGTGGGCAAGGCCAAGTGCACTTAAAGCTAGAATGGCTGTCACTATTGCCAGATGCAGAAAAACTAGAGCAGGTAAGCAACATGGGAAGCAGGAAGCTGGCAGGGGGGAAATAGGTATCTGGAAGTATAGGGGACTGCAGGGACCAAGATCTG